CGGGGCTCGACAGCCTGAGGAGCTATGCCGTCTGCTTGGTGTCATTCTCAATAAGCTGTCGTCCTCACTCGGGTCAGGTCGGCTCGTCTAAGAGCGTTGCCGTCTGCCTAGGGCCACTCTCTGTGGATTGTTATCCCCATTCCCCAGTCAGTCAGATCGGGCCGTCTAGGAGATGTGTCTTCTGCCTGGGGCGACCCGGCCAGGTGTGGGAGCTCAGATCTGAGGGCGGTGTCGACTGCTCGGGGCTATTATTATCCGTACCGCTCGTGGCTATTATTCTCCGTGTGCTACCGTCCCCTCCGTCAGGTCGGACGGTTTATCCTGCCTTCTTCCCCACTCAACCAGGCTGGCCTGTTTCTGTGGCTGTCGTCCCCTCTGGGCCAGGTCGGCCGGAGGGTTTCTCCGGCTATCATTCCCTCTCAGTCCGCTCGGACCCTCCTGAGCATCCGTGTCGTCACGGCCCATCTGCGGTCAGTCGCGGCGCGACGATCGGCCTCCGCCGCTGACCGCACACAGGCCAGCCGACCGGGCGCGACCGGTCCTGGCAGGGCCGGGGGGCCGATCGGTCGGCCGCCCGTCGGCACCCGGCCAGGGACGTCGGCAGCGACGCGAGCTCAGTGCGGCGACGGTGGCGGCGGTGATGGGACGGCGTGACGCGCGTGCGTGCGGTGTCAGTCGGGGAGAAGTGGTGAACGTGTAGAAGGAAGTGGGAGGTAGTGTTCCATAGGAGAGGTTTAGACCCAAGAAGGCAGTTGACTGTTCAAAGATCGAGTGAAGTGATTGAATGTGAGGAGTTGCAAGGTGCTAGAAAGAAGTGAAAAGTGGTATTCGTCAGTGCCTGAGAGTTACACTCCTGGCATACAAACACAAGTGATTGCGGGCGAAATTGAAGAGGAAACGATGACGTGTGACTGCATAGAAGCTCAATATCCGAGAGAGTGATTCCGCACCGACGGCTGACGTTTGAGCCGCTGAGATAATATGATCTTATTGCGGTTATTGGTCCTTTCCTTCGGACATATTCGAGTGGCTGGCCGACGGAATGCAGTCACTGGACTGGTTGTCAGTGCTTTCTGAAGCTGCTAAGAGTAAGGACTCGGGTTCGTCGATCTCTAGACTGTGATTTGGACCTTTCGGGAGGTGACTGATCATTCAATTGTTCGTCACCGGAGCTTGTGATCGCTGATCATTACGCAATTGGGATCTCACACTACGGTGCCAATTGCCCCCATAGCCAAGACACCGGAGAAACGGCCTGCGGTTTTCAGTGGACCGTACTGGAGTCTGAGATATCGTGTGCGTCTTTGTCGACTCTTCGAAGTCATCTTTTCGACTTTTCGAAGGTCGACTTTTCGAAGAATTCATATCTTTGAAGCTGCTGTTGATTTCTGTAGTTCGCCAGTCTGCCGTCTGCCAGAAGCTCAAGCCTCTTCCTTGCCGCTGAAGGTCCGATAACCGCGTCCGACTCTCAATCACGATGGTAGACCTGAGCTCGGAGCTGACCGCTTCGCTGGCGTCTCTGTGGTGCCGGCTGCGCTCTGCGCTCCGTCATCAGACCGAGAAGCGGGCGCCGCCGCCGCCGGCACCGGTGCACCGGCGCGGCAAGTCCAGCTACCGCTACCAGTGCTGCTCCCTCTCCGATCGGCCTCCCGTCTTCGACGACGTCGGCTTCGGCTCGGCGGTGGCGACGCGGCCGGGCGCGTCGGCGGCTGCGCGCAGCTACCAGTCGCACTGCTGCCGCCCCCGCCCGCAGCGGGCGGCCACCGCGCCGCCTGACGACACGCTGGACATTGACGAGGGCGTGCCTTCGTCGTCCCGCCGCCGTCGCGGGCGGCAGCGCCGTCAGAGGCCCACATGGCACCACCGGCTCTCGGCCGAGCGCGAGGACGGAGCGCCGGCCCGACGGCTGCTCAGTCCGACCCAGCAGCAGACGTTCCGGAACCTCTCCAGATGGTGGGTAACCGCTGCTGTGTTTGCTCAGGCCATTGCACAGGGTAGCCGCTGCAGTGCTGTGCCGTATGGCGGCCTCTGCACATGCAGGCGCCGTATGTGTTGGCAGGACGCCGCTGAAAAGTGGCCTGGAGCACCGAGCTGCCGCTCCGCGCCGCTCCACCGCTAACGAGCCGCGATAGATTTATGGCACCCGGTCGTGATTCACTCGACCAGGCGTGAATACAAAGCCATGATAAACGCTCGCAGTAAATGTTTATGAACCACTCGCACGACTTGACTGCCCCAGTCTTTTTCCACGCCTTTTTTCGTATTGGGCGTCGGGGATCGTACCTACTAACACGCTCGGCACCCCATTCTACCGACTGCGGTCGCCGCCGTATCTATAATTTATATTCTCACGCCCCCTTTATGTCAATGTAGTTTGTATGCCTCCGTGGGCGCCAGGTGATCGCTACTTCGATCCAAATTGCATTAGAGACACGCCTCACCATGACAACTCACCGACTTTTGTCGGACCGCACAGCAGTCGTGAATCGACCGGTCAAATCGCCGCACCTGGTTTTGGCCGGTGGTCGTGGCTGATCGATTCATGTGACGGCTCACTTGACAGGTGACGTGTGCTGACGCATGTGACGGACGGCGTCAGGTGACGCGGCGATCCGTCATAGACGTCAGAGGGTTGTCAGTGCGGACACAGGTGGTTCTTTGTAGACAGGCTAGCTATTGTTTGGAATTTGTTCTTGGCGCAAAACGACACAAGCGCTCGTCACGCCCGTGAGCAGTTTTGGCATAGCGGTCGTTCCGTGCCGTACTGTCCTGGGCTGGTCCGTGCCGTACTGTACGGTGGCTGTCCTGTGCTGCATTGTACGATGGTGGTCCGTGCCGTTCTGTGCTGGTTTGGTCCTTGCCGTGCAGTGCAGCGGTGATCCATGCGCTGTATCACCGGAGCTGCGAACATCCTTGGGAACAGCCCTGCGCCCTGTCTGCGGACTGACGGGTCGCCAGGTGCCCTGTGTCACGGCGCCCGGCCCTGGCCAGCCAGGAGGCCGGCCGGCCTGTCCCTCTGTCAGAGGTGTTTGTTCAGGCGCGCGCCGCCGTCTCCCGGTCGGAACAGTGGCCCGGTGTAGCATGTAGCCGCGCTGTAGCTTGGCTCCGCCACCCACCGCCCACCCACCGCTCGACTGTGACGCTCAATGTTGACATTTCCACCTGCTGCCTCTACCGCGCACGTCCACCGTCCACACCCACTGTCCACCGTCCACCACTCCTGCCCACTGTCCACGCTTCACCTCCCGTCGTCCACCGCCCATTGTTTACCGTCCACCCCTTATATCCTCTGCCCAACGTCCACCGCCCACTGGCATCCGTCCACGGCCCGCTTCTGCCCTGTCCTGCCGTCTATGCCTACGCTGCCATTTGTGACATTGTTATTGTTTTGGTCAGGCCCAGGCCTTGATCACGTATACCGTTTTTTCCCGCATCGAACCCTGATGACGTGTACCACGTTAGCCTCATCGTCGGCCACCCACCAAACCGATCATGTGCGGCGCTTCTCCGCCCATTTCCCTCCTCCCTCTGCACGACCCTCGTGCGCACTTAGCTGCCGTTGTTCGCGCCGGCCGCGCTGCCAAGTGTCGGTCATTTGCCGCGATCCGCGGAGGAGAGCTCGCCCTCCGCTGTGTGCCAGCGCCCACCCTCCTCATCTCGGCCGCCCGTGATGAGTTCCCACCGAACAGCCACCTCCGTCACTGACGAGATGAATGGTGCGCGCTGGAACTTAGCTCTTATATCATAGCCGAGAGGCGTCATCTTCACGCGTGGTTGGCACCGGCGCCTGCTGTCTCTGTTTTCATATCTGGTCACACGGGCGACCTCGGTAATTTGGGTGATAACTCACAAGGGAAGCTGACGGGCCCGTGACCGTAGGTTGCATGCATTCCAATCAAATTATAAATGGCAGCGCACTAATCGTTTAAAATTTTAATATTTTTTATCAATTTAAATTTTTTAATCAGTATAAACAGTTTTTTATCGTGTGTATTGTGTTGTCATCTATACCTATTGATAGTACCTATATCTTTTATGCAAGAGATGAATTAAAATGGAATTTATTATATAGTACATTGATCTACTTAGTCACATAGCTTGTATTTAAGTGGCATTTGGTCTTTGATTGAAATAGTTGCTGAATCAATGGGGCTCGTTTTGACGTGATTGAATCTCATCAATCTCCTCGACTATATTGGCAGATTGAGTTGAGTTAATAAAATTGTACCTTCCCGCCACTGACACCGCTATGCACTGTCGAATGTCGTGGGCCTGGTTTGGTGTCTGTAAGGGTCGAGAGACTGCGACGCAATTCAAATAAGTTTTCACGTACCGTAGTAAGCCGCATGCATGAGAATAGTAAAAAATAAATAGGAGTGGCACGTCACCCAGATATCACTTCTTGGCGCCCCTGCGACCTCTCCACTGCCCGGTGACACATGACTCGTACTCTTTTTAACGGGAACTGAAACCAATTTGTGCATCTAACGCTGTAGTTTTCCTCGAACTCTCCTCACGGGAGGAATTAGCCCGTCAGCAATAAAGCCAGAGAGTGTCCCGTAAATTCCTCTTTGTCTGGTTACTGGATCCAATAAAGCTGAAACTTTTCGCTACATTTAAGTTGCTTTATATTGAGCGCAAGATAATTGAAGAATGAATCATTATAGCAGCATAAAACGTCGGAGGGTTGCCTTGTAATTGAAAATAAAAGTCCCAGGATTCCTTTCGTGCTCGGTCCAAAAGATGGTTTTTGTATTCGTCGAACAAACTTTATTCGTGTTTCTATAAGCATGATGTAGGTAAGAATTGCGTCAGCTATATTGTGCAGTGATTTGACTTTTGAGCTGGTCGTGATAAACATTAAACATGTCATATTTGTGATTTATTTTCCTAACACCAACATTGCGTTCACCTTCAGTAAGTAGGGAGTCGAACAAAATAAGTCTTATCAGCTCGGCTCGTCAACTAAAAGACGATTTTGACACTCACTGTCTCCACAGGCTCGCCGAGAAGAAAAAAGAAGAGGGAAATCTTTCATACACCGCCAAGAAATACCAGCAGGCACTAGAGCTTTACTCGCAGGCCATCGGTGAGTCTTCGGGGCTCCTCGCGAGCGCGGTGAGCTGAACAGGGCTGTGTCTGTCTGTCTGTCGGTGTGTCGGTCTGTCTCTGTCGGTCAGTCTGTCTGTCTTTCTTGTTGGCCTGTCTCTCCTGTCTGTCTCTGTCCGTCCATTAGTCCCGTCTTATCCCGTCCCGTCCCGTATTTCCAATCTGTCCGTCCGCCTGGCTTCCCCTCCTGTCGGTCTGTCCAAGGGTCTGTCGTTGCACCAGTGCAGTTTACCGGCCAGTAAAACAAACTCAGTCCGCTGTCGGAGAGACACACGTGCGTTTGTTTGAGTGGCTTCTCCGGCTGACAGACGGACTCGGAGTCCAAACGGCGCCGACACGGTAACAGTTACGCAGCCCCTAAACAGTCACCCTTTGTCGGCGGGAGAATGCCGCCAGTGAATGATACTGGCATTGATACGCATTGATTATTGCGGTTTTATTACGAGATTGGGGGCCTGTTCAGCATTTATTTTTACGTGACAGATAGCCTAAAATGTTCAATTTGTTTCCATTTTTATCTTGTCAGTCTCTTTGCCATCGCTATTACATATCACCGGCATTATTCAAGAAAGCATTGGAAAAAAAACTCCCGAAATAATACCCACCATCATGCACTACAACATGCGAGTGGTACTACACTGGCGGCCGACCGACCCGGGAGCTGCTTACTGATCACCCCTGTCTGCGACAGACCTGTGTCCACAATGCGCCGCCTACCACAACAACCGATCGGCGTGTCTGCTGATGCTCGGGCAGTATCGGCAGGCGCTCCACGAGGCGCGCGAGGCCGTCCGACTCGACAGCAAATACGTCAAGGTGAGAGGCGGCACGTCACTGATGACGTGGGGTTACTCCGCACGGGGCATTCCACGTCAAATCAAACACCGAAATCCGTTATCCCCTTCGATTTTTCTGAAAATTTGTAGGCAGACTGGGCATGGTTCAAAACTGAGTTACGTGTAATATTTTCGAAATTTGATAACGTATCGCCGAGATATAGGTCATCGAATATAGCCAAAAATGCCACACATCATTTTTTTAAATGCTTATAACTCTGGTTCCTTTTCTGGTATCAAAATGATATTAACAGGGTCTTGTAGGCAATTGATAAGGCTTTGATTTTTAATTATAAAATAAAATTGAAATGACCTTGAAATGCATTTGACCTTGAATTAAAACAGAAAAATTTAAATAGCAAAAAACACGCTACCTTCGATTTGAGTAATTTTTACATATTATGTCCGTCACAATGTTCCTAACCATCTGTGAAAAAATTGGAGTGGGCCATTCATAACTTTCGCGGCAAACGCCGTTTTCATGCATCAACATCACGCAACCGCGCGTGACCTTGAAAGACAGAGTCAAGACATGCTTGCTTGTGTACACTTTCTGAAATAAATGATTGCTTATTAGTGATATCCCAAACTCTGCGAGAATGGAAATGCATAGTCATCGTAGTCAAGCATTCACGTTCCATTGTAAAAGTGTCTCAGGCAAACGGTATTTTGCGGTGAATTTTGAGCCGTGTGGAAATGCATCATGAAATAAATTCAACGAAAACATTATCACGCAACGATATCTTCACGTCTTTTGATCTTCACTATACGAAAGAAAATACATTTTTGAGTATGTATGGGGAATTTCTAGTTAATCCGATAATAAATATGGCAGTTAGAGTCCTGCTACGAGTAACATGTCGCCGGCTGAGGCGGGATCGGCCGACGCGGGAAACGCAGCAGTCACAATTTTGTGTTTACACGTTCATATTTCAATTGTTTACCAACCTATTTTCAGAATTCTTTCACCATAAGATTGCCTGTACATTTCTTAGTCTTCTCACAAAATTTGACGCGAATCGAACGTAATCAGCGGTAAGGAGCGCGATGTAAAGACGGAACCGTTCCGTTCCGTCCCGGCACAGTTTACAATTCAGGCGGCGCGTAGCGGTCGGCGCCGGCTGCCGAGTCGCCGCGTCGCCGCGGCGACAGGATGTTCACTTTACACCGCTATTACTAGAACAGTTGTGAACCGATTTTCTTATTGCTTGCACGATGAGATGTGCAATTCAATTCTGGACAGGTAGCCATAAGTAATTTCGCATCAATATTATGAGATATTGGCGAAAAACAGGAGGGGTGGGGCGAAATTCACTCTTCCCTCTCCACTGCGCGTGCTAACATACGTTTGCATATGTGCCATTTTCTTCAAAACTTATGAATGGCCCACTCTAATTTTTTCACAGGTTGTTAAGAATATGGTAGGCAATAAAATATATGAAAATGAGCCAAATCGAAGGTGGCGTGTTTTTTGCTATTTCAATTTTTGTGCTTAAGAACAGAGTTAAGCATATTTCAAGGTCATATATTTAAGTCGATGCAATTCTAAACAAATGCTTAAGAAATTACCTAAACAGTAAGGTTTATTTCATTCAAATCAAACAAGTACAACCAAAGTTATGGTCGTTCAAAAATATAAAGATGCAACATTTTGTAAAAATTTGATGCCCTATATTTAGAAGACCTGTGGTCAGAATGTGCAAAAAACATCAATGTAATGTCCGGGGCGACACAGGAACTCGCTCACAAATTTATAATGAAATCGCTGATGGTAAGGTGCAAAACAGCCGATTTTTGTTCGATTTGACGTGGAATGCCCCGCACGTCACAGGTGACGTGGGCTGTACCACACGTCACAGTTGATGTGGGGCCGCACTGCACGTCAGTCAGCGGTACATGATGGTTGGAAAAGCGCGCTGACGGCCGGGGAAGTGGGGTGATAGCTGGGGAGGTGTACTAATGAATATCGATCGTAGTGATCTGTTAACCGTAAAATCTAAATGTTGAAATTTGCGATCGAGAGTTTTTGTTGAATTTGTGATCTGGAACAGAGACTTAAGTGTGTTGCTGAAATTCATCAGGCGTGATTCCCGCGTTTTGCTTTTTTGCCGGCTCGAGATTCTGAAATAGTGAGCGGGAAGAGGGACCGAGATAACTTGCAAAATTAATACGACTTATGTGGTCTTTCGAGCAGTTATTTAAATTTTGTTGCCATTTGAGTAAATGTAGGATAGCCGAGAGCTTAGGCCGCTGATAGCTCATGACATGAGCCGCTGTGAGATCTGGGCTCGCCTTCCGGCTGCTGGTAGCTCGGTGTCGCTGAGAGCTCGGTGCCGCTGATAGCTTAGGACCGCAGAGAGCTCAGGCCGGTGAGAGCTCACTGCTCTGTGCCGCTGTCCCTAATCCCTGTCGTCGCCCGACGGATGTGTTCCGGGCACTGGCCGACACGTATGGCGCTCCTGGTATTCGTCTGCGGCCTCATTAAATTCCGATGTCACTCTCAGCCACGCGGTCTGCACTGACGAATATTTATGTCAAGCGGTCTTGCAATCCGTGACGCGAGAATTTCCTTTCTTGACCAATGCACAGTGCAATACAGTTTGGATTAGGTCTCAGTTTTGGATGACCGACAGCACCACGTTCATATTTTCCATGTAGTGATTTTAAAGCTATGTAATCCTAGGACCTAATTGCCTCTACAGGACTGATCTCAACTAGGCTAGCTTTCCTTTTGACTTTTTGCATGGGACCGTGGCTTGTGGTCTTCAGTGACCTGATCTGGCCTGCTCTGACCCTCTTGGCCTGCTGCGCGCGGCTCAGCTGACCTGACCTGCCATGACCCTCCCTCAGGGCCTGCTGCGCGTGGCCAAATGCCAGGTGATCTTGGGCGATGTGGCCGGCGCGGACTCTGCCCTGAAGCAGGTGGCCGCCCTGGACCCGCAGAACGCCAGCTTGGCCACCGAGCGGCGCAACATGGATGCTGTGGCGCGGCTCACGCAGGAGCTGGACCTCTCCTGGCAGAAGGTGAGAGAGGGAGGGAGAGGGAGAGAGAGAGAGAGAGAGAGAGAGAGAGAGAGAGAGAGAGAGAGAGAGAGAGAGAGAGAGAGAGAGAGAGAGAGAGAGAGAGAGAGAGAGAGACCGTGGTGCCGGCCCATCTATGAAGTTGAAATCTCATAGCAGAAGGGGAGGAACGGAGAAAAGGACCTTTTCCGCAACATAGCCCAACAACTAAGCTGCAATATTGCAGACTACAATATTACTAGGATAGTTATGTCTGTTTCTCTTTCGTCATGTTGAAACTTGAAATCATCCTTTTTACCGATATGTGACTTGACCCGCCCGATGCTTTATCGCGTGACCTGTCCCGCCCCTATCGTATAACGTGATTTGTTTCCGACCTCGTGGTCTACCCTTGCCCTGTCATGTGAGCTGACCTCTAGCCTGTGCCGCAGGGTGACTACCGGCGGGCGCTGTTCTCTGCCGAGCGGGCTCTCACCGTGGCCACTGGCAGCTCCCACCTGCGTGTGCGCCGTGCCGAGTGTCTGGTACTGCTCGGACGGTACTCGGAGGCGCAGGACATCGTGCACGACATGCTGCGCGCTGACAGGTTAGAGCTGGGAGGGTGGACAGGCAACGACAGGTTAAGGCTCTGGGTTAGGCAGGGGTGACAAGTTTAGCTCAGGGGAACGTAACACGACAAATAAGAGCTGGGGAGGGGGGGGGGGGAGTGCCAGGTAAGGACAGGAAGGACAGGTTAGAGACTCGGGGACGGGCGGATAAGTTAGAGTTCGATCGTGTGCAGGGATGATTAGGTCAGTCAGGGCACTGGGCAGATAGGTCAGATGCATACTTGCGGAGGGATGACAGGTCAGTAGGGGGGGGGGGGGGGAGTCAGCAGATGAAATGGGGGTGGGGCGATTGAGTATTTAAGAGTCTGGGAAATAAGAGGGATTGTAAACAGGTAACAGACGTCAGAGAAGCTGGCCGCCCGTGATTTTTTTTCGTGTCTGTGTCTCATTTACCTTTGTGTGTGTTTTACTCTATGACTATCAGAGTGCATAAGGTCCAGACTACCATAGTTTCGTTTCGTTAGGTCGGTCGTCGACTTATTCGAGCGATCAAAGCGTGACCCTCGTCGGGCGCAGACCTGTGCCCCATTAGGTCGGCTACCGTCCGAACTGCGGCAGTTTTCAGCCGCTCTGGCGCAGCGAAATTAATGAACGCCGTCTTATGGCAGAATTTCAATTCAGTGCAGCTCATTTAGGAAATGGGCCTGAAATGTAAAGCCCTCTAAGTAATGGTTATCAGATATGTTTCGCAAACGAAAGTGAAAATGCCCGACTACGAAGTAATGCGTTTGAAATGACCTCATGCTGCTTCGTGGTTCATGGTTCTTGGCGTTATTATTGATTTTGTTATTGAAAAGAGCCGCTATTCAGGTGCAATTCAACAAAAGAATACATGTTTCGTGGAAGCTTCATTCGTATGATTGGTTGGCTGGGGCGCTTAGCTGGCGTCTCCAGACATCGATTTTTAAAAAAGTCATTCGCAAATCGTTGCCACCTGACTACAACAGTTGTTTCTATGTGACCACGCCAGCCTATGTCTGACCTCGTATGACTCACACCTAGGTAACCCATCTGTTCAATCTGACCCGTCTAGCCCCTGTATCGTCCCCTCTGACCTGGTCTGTCCCTCGCCGCCGGCAGTATGAACGCGGACGCGCTGTACGTGCGCGGCATGTGTCTCTACTACCAGGACGACGTGGACAAGGCGTTCAACCACTTCCAGCAGGTACTGAGGCTGGCGCCCGACCACCAGCGCGCCCGTCAGGTCTACAGGGTGAGTCCAGGGAAGGGCAGAGAGAGTGGGGGACACAGAGGCTCCGTAAGGTGTACAGGGCGAGTCGACAGCCCCGGCAGAGGGAAAGGTAGCTACTAGCTAGTAGCACTTGCCACTTAATAGGTTTCTTGGCACATTACAGGAGGATTTTCGCACTCGCTTTTATTTCCTTTCAAATGTACTTCCTAGTTCCGTTACCGAATTCTTCCTTGTTTATTAAAGGGACCCTCCCACCTTCAAAAAAGTTAATGAATTGGCACGAAAGTGATGTCGCTCGGTTCAGAAAGAGCGAAAACGAATATCTACCAAGTTTCATCGAAAAATATTCACCGGTTTTCAAGATATTAGACTTTTACTTTTGTTTACTTTTTGGGATCTCCGCTGTTCCTAGCGACTTTATTTGAAAGTGCGGCATTTGTTGCGCGCAAAGCAGCATATACCACCGCGTGCTACCAAACGTTTTAGTAAAAGATTTAAAAATCGTTAGATCTCCGCTGACGTCACAAATTCTAAGGGGGCATACCAATGCACTAGCCCCTTAGAATCCGAAAACTGCAAGTTTGAAATTCCATATCTCCGAATTAAAGCATTTGTCGATGTTGTGAGTGCCCAAACCGGTATTTGCAGGCCATGGCCACCAATTTGGCTATCTCAACTCAAAACTAATAATAAGGTGGGAGTGTCCCTTTAATTGCATACAAGATTTGCTTTTTCATCACCCTGGCTAGTCAAAAGCACTAGAAATCATATGTCTGCTCTTATCCGCCTTTCTTATCAAATCAGCTCACACTGCCTCACCATTGTCCCTGCAGCAAGCCAAGAACCTCAAGACCAAGAAGGAGGAGGGTAACCTGGCGTTCAAGAAGGGCAGCATGCCCGAGGCGCTGCAGCTCTACACTGAGGCGCTGGAGATCGACCCGCTCAACAAGGCTACTAACGCCAAACTGTACTGCAACCGAGCCACGGCTCAGGCGCGCCTCGGCAACAACCAGGAGGCCATTGCCGACTGCTCGCAGGTTGGTGTTACGCTCCGGTGTGGACGTTAGGGTGGTGAGCTACGTCCGTCACTCTGTGGCGAGGTCGCCTTGCGATTGGACGGTACTGTGGTGTCCTGATCTAGCTTAGATGTGCTGCTCTCATCACCTGCTCCGTGAATCCCTCGCTTCGGTGTCATCGCCTCCTCCCTCGAACATATTACTTCGCCCTTCCTCTTGCTCCCGGTCGCCCTTTTCTGCTGCCTCTCTCTCTCTCTCTCTCTCTCTCTCTCTCTCTCTCTCTCTCTCTCTCTCTCTCTCTCTCTCTCTCTCTCTCTCTCTCTCTCTCTCTCTCTCTCTCTCTCTCTCTCTCTCTCACTCACTCACTCACTCACTCACTCACTCACTCACTCACTCACTCACTCACTCACTCACTCACTCACTCACTCACTCACTCACTCACTCACTCACTCACTCACTCACTCACTCACTCACTCACTCACTCACTCACTCACTCTTTCTCTTTCTTTCTCTCTCCCTCTCTCTCTCTCTCTCTCTCTCTCTCTCTCTCTCTCTCCCCTCTCCCCCCCCCCCCGGAAGCCGCGGTCAGTTGGGGACCCCCGGCGCCTGTCCGGCCGACGCTCTGGCTCGTTAACGCTCATCCCGGCGCAGCGGGGCGGGACGGTGTGGCTCCGGCCTGGTTCGGTCGACAACCGGCCGTCCACGCACGGGACACGATGCTGGAAACCGGGTTGGGGATGGGGGATGTTCAGATAGGAGATCGGTGAAACAGAGACTGAAATCGTGAATTTAAATATTTTTAGATGTTTTGATTCAGTTATCTTATACCAAAGTAATTGGAGTGATTTTAATTAGTATTCTTTAATTAACAACAGTATTATTTGCAAAATGTATGCGCACATAAAAGAGCCAGCCTTGCAATTAGCATTAACGAAGCCCATGCCAGAGTGCGTTTACATTTTTGTAAAGATGCGGCGGAAGTCAGCTGCTGCGAGAGGTTTTTAGCATGTCTGAGTTAGTCATTTGAAAAGTCTTGTTAGCATTCAATGCGGCTGTCACGGCCGAGGGTGGTTACAGATGTTGTGTGTCGAGCTCTGGCATATGACGATGTAGCCGTCCGCCGCGGCGCCATAGCGCCGAATCTTTCCGCTCGACTCCTGGCATATGCAGTAGACACAGTAGGCTAGCTGGCTCTAGCGGCTGCCGAAACTGTAGCGAATCTGGCCTAGCCTGGGACCCGTCGTATCACTGTGGCATGTGGGGGGGGGGGGGGGGTGCTAAGCGAAGGCTGCTGTATGGAGGGAATGTAACTAGATTGAGCTGTGAGCTAGTTTGATAGCTATATCCGCTCTCATCGGTGCGGGGAGGGTCTCATCGTTTCTCACAGAGTATGTGACGAGTAGGGTGAAGTCGTATAAGAGTACGCACTTAGTGGATTTCTCGCTCTCATTTGTTTAATATTTGAAAGAAAGAAATCGCAAATAGGGAATATTAAAGTTCATTGAATTAGCCATCAACCCATGGGGCAACGATCCCTCAGCGTAAATGGAAGTGGTCTAAAACTGACATTTTCTGAACCGCTGCAGTTGCGTACTCTTACCATAACGGGTGTCAAGTCCAAAATGAGACAAAATTGAAATCGCTCTATTTTCAACCTCCCTTTAGATATTCACCTGAAATTTGGACAGAATGTCCATGCGTGAATTGCACGAGCATGATGTTAAAATATTGTGGCTACGTATTGAGGTCAGTCGTCATGAAGCCTTTGAGCAAGCAAGCCGCAAGAGACATTGTCGCGAGAGCAGTTGACAAAACCCGAACTTGACTAAGGCTCAGGTTTTCCGCCACGTTAAATCGCTTGGTATTCCACGACCGACTGATATATCGCGTTATCAATACATCCCTAGACAAAAGACACATACGACGAGCTCAGAATGGCAGGCCTGCTCCCAAAATGTCAGCAAAGAGGCGCCAAGGCCTTGTTCGCATGGCAGACGGCAAAGTCGGCGTCTCACTTCGTCTCTTAGGCCGCAGCTTTGGCATAACGCATGACAGAGTGAGACACATTCTCAGAGAGGAAGGGGTAAGATATAGGATGCGCCAGAAAGCTCCTCCGGTATCTGCTCAGCGAGAACAATCTCAAAAGGGCCGCCTGCGACCCCTTAGCCGGGGAAAACTGAGTGCCACTCGAGAGCAAGATGCCATCATGGACGATGAAAGCTACTTAACCTACACTGGCTCAGAAATGCCACAAAACCGTGGTTTTTACGCTGGGCCTGGTGGAGACATACATTCGAATGTGACGTACCGTCCGATTGGAAAGTTCCCACGTAAGCTTCTTGTGTGGATAGCCATATCACCCAAGGGAGTAGCAAAACCAACAATTTGCCCCAGTTCAACAAATGTTAGCGCCCATGTCTACATCACAAAGTGCCTGAACAGCAAACTCAAACCGTTCATCGAGGAGAGCAACCGAAGGGGTGGATATGCATTTTGGCCAGACTTGGCTTTAGCTCATTATGCACGTGCCACGTGCCAGTTTCTGGAGGAGGCTGGCATGCCTGATATTTAATCCGCTAGGAAAACCCACCGAATGTCCCGCAGCTGGGACCAATTGAGGACTTCTTGGGCATACTTAAACAAGAAGTCTACCGCGGTGGCTGGACAGCGTCATCCGATCAGCAGCTGCGTGCCAGAATCCTGAGCAGCATCAATAAAATTGTCCCGGAGGTGCCGCGATCGATGATGAAGATAGCGGGAGAGCACGTGCGTCTGGCAGACAGGCATGGACCCCTGGTTCAAATTCATTAGTACCAGTGGACTGGCGACAGAACAAGGTATATGTGGTGAAAGTTTCGTTAAAATATCTAATAATACACAGTGTCTACCTTAATTTTGCGTTTGTCCCATTTTGAACTTGACACCCGTTATGGGGTGTGTAAGAGTACGCACGCCAGGCGGGTGGAGTACGCAAGCATATGAACACACACCATGCAGCTTGTACTGTCCAAATGCTTAACTTCAAACTCAGAAGACATTTAAGCTTATTCTAGTATCCAAAAGGAAAAACATAAAATAAATCTTTCAAGTCTATAAATCAGGAAATATCATGTCGTGTGTTTCTAAAAAAAAAATGCACAATCAAAAGGGAGAATAACTCGTATTTGGAAGAATTTCGGGTACGCATCTGCATCACAGTGCTCCATTGATGATATACCTACAAAACAAACGTCATTCAGCGATAGATTAATAATTTTATATTTCTGTATATTCGACATAATGTATAATTCTGCGTACTCTTACCCTCCTGAACAGTGCGTCCTCTTACCGTAAATGCGATTCGTGCACAAAACAACCCCGAAACGTTGTGCAAAACTTCGCAAACAGAATATTGCACTGCACAGTATTTCCCCAGATAACCTCACAAGTTTCCCACAACAATCACGGAAATGTACCTTATCTCAACTGCCAAGTATCAAAATTATTGTACTATACCATAATAATATCACAACGCTCGAAAATAATATTCATCGCCTTAAACTCAACAGCGTCGCCGCTCAACGCCCACGTTCCGTTGGTGACAAGCACGCACTGGCGGCTTCATGTCACTTCATGAACTCGACAAACCCGCGTTGCTAAGCAACCGAAACAGCTGATGCGTACTCTTATCGCCCGCGTACTCTTACCCGCCCTTACCCTATCCCGCTGTTCTCACCTAATCATTGTGTTTTCAACAGGCGATCGATCTCGACTCTGGCTACGTGAAGGCGTACCTGCGCCGCGCCAAGTGTTACATGCTCACTGAACAATACGAGGAGGCCGTCCGAGACTACGAGAAGGTGAGCACGGCTGGTGGCGGCGAAGAGACACGAGAACTGGGGGTTCTACAGCTGGGCTATTTGACAATTATGGCATTTTCATGAGAATTTTCTGGGCATGTGCCATCCCTCTTATCTGTTTTTGGTCCCATTATCAGACATCATCTGTTTTTGGTTGGCTGTGTTTGGTTCGAGGTCCGGTTATCTCGTCCCCTGGCGTGAATTTTTGTTTAATTTGGAGGCGGTGATCCACTGTTGTGATCACATTCGATTCTATGCGAGCCTCAGGCCCTAGATTATTTGCAAGTAGCTAACCCCTCCTTGTCATATGCTATTGTTTTGGGTGACTATTTATGAAAAACTTCTACTGACGCCTTTTCCCGTCAGGTGAACACCCTGGACCGCAGCTGCGAGCACCGGCGTCTGCTGCACGAGGCCAAACACGAGCTGAAAAAGTCCAAACGCAAGGACTACTACAAGATTCTGAACCTGAGCCGATCGGCCACCACGGACGAGATTAAGAAGGCGTACAGGAAACAGGCGCTGGTCCACCACCCGGGTGAGTCTGAGGTTTGGCGCGATGGGGGAGGAGACGCGCATGTACTGTGGCACAGTGGGGGGGGGGGGATTGGGAAGTGTGTGCTCTGGTACAGTAGGGGATGAGGGAGGGGTACACTGGTACGGTAGTGAGACGGAACACTCATGGTATTGTGAGAAAGGAGGAAGGGAGAGATGTGCACTGGAATAATAAAAAAGATGGGAGGGATGTGCTTTGGTGCAGGGAATGCCGGGAGACACTGCTATATGGTGGTGGTGGTGGTGGGAGTGAAGGCACTGACATTGTTTGGAAGGGGACACCGTTAGCTGCTAGGTCGACCGTCCATCCAGATGGCTCGCCAGCGAGTGCCGTCCTATCGACCCGCTGCTGCTCCAGTCATTTGGAGTCCCCAGGTGGACCAATCCGTGATTGGTTGTAATTGGCCATAAATTTCGGCTCCGACGGCCGAGGGTCCGCTGGATGGACAGCAATCTATAGACCATTTGTGTGTACCAAGTGGAGTTAATCGATGTGTTGCTACGAACGAAACTGCCCTTTTTATCGTTTCATTAAAACCTTCATATTATTGTGTGTCCAACCGAACTCAGATGCAAGCATTTGTCAAAATTCACCATAATCAATAATCCTTGAAATAAATGAACAATGGTTATTGACGTGCTGTCAATCAGCTATCAATGTTTCCTGTTGAGCTGGCGTGCCGCCCGTTATCGACTGACGTACCGATCCGCGAGCCTCGGGCGCTGCTGCTGGCCAGTTCCGGCTCCAATTATACCGTGCTGTACTGCCCCAAACCATACGGTATTTACGGGATATGTCCCTCGCTATACAGTGTGGTCCCATACCGTGCAGTGTTGTGCCTTACCTTCATGCCTCGATTCCCTTCACTTACCGTATCGTGTTCTCCTGTATCCGATATCGCACCGTACGTCCTTTCTCCTAATTTGCCTTCGCAAGCTGCATTTTTCTTGGGTGGTAAACAGCTCGCCCGGTTCTCTCCGTCCTATCCTCTATCTCTGTTCGCCAATCTATTGTCCAGTTTATCTCTCAGCTACCAGTCTACCTCACTCAGACGTCTAACCTACCCGCCCTCCTCCCCCCACGGCAGATCGGCACTCTAGCGCCTCTGAGGAGCACCGTAAGGAGGCCGAGCGCCGCTTCAAGGATGTCGGTGAGGCGTACAGCGTGCTCTCGGACCGCTCCAAGCGGCTGCGCTACGACAACGGACAGGACCTGGAGGACGGCGACGGCTTCTCCTCTTCGGACGTCGACCACAGCAACATCTTCCAGGCGTTCTTCGGCGGCGGCGGCCCGCCCGGCGGATTCCGGTGAGAGGGGGATGGAGCGGAGGGGGCTGGAAAGGACTCGGCTCGGAAAGGGGGTGTTGGGAGCAACCTGGTCTGGAGAGGACATGGCTTAGAGAGGGTGTTTGGTATAGCCTCCCAGTCAGGTGCGGACTGTAGCATAGTCAAAACTGATTTAAAACATTCAATTTGGCTCTCTTTTCAATCTCGAGGTGTAATTAGCAATCCTGACTTCTAATTATCTAATACATTTCAATGTAATTTAATTTTCTAATCCAATTATCTCATATCCAATGCCTGACATCGAACTAAATTAACATCGGAGCCCTGCGCAGAGTAGACACCAGACCTTACAACCCTTGTGACCCCGTCTCCCGTCATCGTTACCCCGTGACATCCCTTCTGACCCCCTCCCGTATCCCGCCGCTGCAGGTACAGCAACATGGGCGGCGGCGGCGGCGGCCAGCCATTCGACTTTGGCGGCGCACACGCCGGCGGGTTCCAGTTCCACTTCGGTTAGGGAACCCCGGCCGCGGCCACGCGCGCCTGCGCAGCATGAGAGTGTGTTCGGCCGCGACCCGAGTGAGTGAGGTGAGAGTGACCGAGCGAGTGATGAGTGCAGAGTGAGGTCTGGAGTGTCAATACTCCAGCCAAGTGAACGGACGGGGTGAAGTGTCGCGATCAAAAGATGAGATGGTTCGATGCGCTGTGCGTTAGACGAAGATGTTTGCGCGCTGAGTGATGGAGTGCGAGGGCGGTGCTGGGCGGTATGCGATATGCGAGCGTCTGTCTCCAGCGGCGGCGCGATTCTCGCGTTGTATATGTCGGAAGGTCAGCGATAGTGAGTGCTTCTGCTTTTCTGTGTGCGTCGATGGCCCGTGTCGCGAGTGGTCTCCGGAGTCACGGCGTGTCGCTGTGCCGCAGTGACGACCTATGGATGGCTGGTGGGGGAGGGTCAGGTTCAGAGCTGAGCTCTCAGCGTACGTGCTCTGCGCGGGCGCAACGCAAGTCGTGGGCTTTGTCGATGTGCTGGTCAGACGACTGCTGGCTTTGGCTCGACTTAGAGCCGACTTATGGCGAACTCGCGAGGCTGATTATGGGCCTGTTCCAGCACCTCCAGTAGAAAGGCTTGACTGGAGGCTCTTTTAATATGTTTTACTGGAGGCGTAGGAACGCAATTTTATAAAAATAGGTTTAAAAAATTATGTGATTTTCCTTACATTTCAATAGTAAAATTAATCTTTCTTTAATCCTTTCTTTACGTTCATAATCGTCACATGTGCGCCATGATTATAGACCAGAGCCTCCAGTCAAATGTGGACCTCGCAACTGACTGGAGGCTACTGGAGGTTTCTGGAGCTTTGGCGAGAGCTTTCTGAAGCTTACAGGAGGCGCTGGTTCTGGACTGACTGGAGAATTCTGGAGCTTTCTGGTGTTTTCTAGAGGCGTTGGAACAGGCCCTATCATGGTTGGCGCCCTGGCCGCGATGGGTTGCTGAGGGACGGAAGTGGCGGCGACCTGGTCGGGGCAACCCACCCAGCAGAGTGGGCGGTCTCACGGGAAATCGCCCGCCGCTAGTTTTATACCGTTACCAAATAACTTTTCGATGAAAATCTACAGTAACTGAGTACCATGGATTCTGTTGTAAGAAACCTGTGCTTGCTGGTCCATAATCCGTATGCTTGTTGGTATTTCATATTTCGTTCGTAGTCTTCAATTGCTGAATTAATTTAACCGAGATACATCGCCTATTAGAACCCTGGAGGTGTGTCACGGACGCTGGCCGGTCGTCGAACAGGGTCGGGTTCGACCCGACTGTGGGCGTCTCGGTTCATAATGTACTGACCTGTTCAGAAGCCGAGTGCTCAGTGCTAGCGGTAACACCCTGTGCGGCACGAACGGTGAGCCGGTGGCCGATTTCAGCTGGAGACGGTGATCGCTGCGCGGGATGAGCGTTGTGTTCATTCTCTCGCGTCTGGTGACAACTTTCCGTACCGTGAGCGGTCAATACATAACCCTGAGAAATACTGTGAGCCGTCAAGGCATAACCCTGAGAGGAATCGTGAGCAATGAGCAGTCGATACATAACTCTGAGAAGCATGAGCACTGAGCATTCAATGCATAACAAGGAATACAGCTGTGAGCGGAAAATACATAACCACGAGAGGATCCGTTAGCGGTCAATGCACAACTCCGAGAAATACCTGAACTGTCAATACATAACCCTGAGAGATGCCTTTATGGTCATTTAATGACCAATTATTGGTCAATGCTCAGTACAAAACCCTGAGCAGTATCGTGAGCGGTCAATTAACGCTGAGAATCTCTCCCACGCCATAGCGCTCAGAGCATAACGCTGAGAATTGTCCGTTCCGTAAGTATGCGTGACGCTGCACAAAGCCAACCCCGTGTTGGAAGAAGTTAGTCTTCAGCCCACAGCGTCCTGGGTGGTTGCCGGCATTCGTCCCAAACACGTGATATGCTGTGTAGGCGGCCAGGCGGTTTCATCATCTGATAACCTTAGCGAGCGAGTGATAAGGTCGATAGGGAAAGATAAGTTGTCGGGTCGATGGCGGATTGCCAAAATGACCTTGTAGTCGGCGCGCCCTTAAGCCCCCCGATGGCGGATTGCACAATGCACATTCTGCCTGCATAGGACTCCAGTGCTGCCGACGGTCGCCCTAGGGCCGCCCGTGACGGAAGAGGGCCCAGGTCGCCGCTCCCCCTCGTTTGGTGCTATAAATCGTTATATCGTTGCTATAAGGACAGCTTGCCATAACAAATATTTACAATGGCATTACCACGGAATGACGATGTTTGCGGCCTAGCTAATGGCAAGTGACGAGGAATTGAGTATGTATGTAGGTTTGCTCGAAACAAAGATGCTGTATCGGCCAATGATAAAAGTTTTGATATGCTACGACGCGGTAGAGTTTGACCCGAGCCGTAACGAGCGACGTTTTATTACTCCCTTCCCTCCCCTCCCCTCGGGCTTTACATAAACGCCGGCGCTACGCGTTGCCGTTTTAAGCGCACCTTTTTGATTTTTACGCACATGTGGAGGTCAGCTATAGGTCATCTAAGGTCAGGTCACCAAGTCACTTCAAGGGATCTCATCTCTGGAGCTAAGTAAATACTGGTCCCCCGTTTTGAATGGGGAACTTTTAGCGGTTGATCTAATTGACAAGGGTGACAGGAAATGTGTATCTCGTTTTACTCGTCGTAATATGAGACTGAATGCTGCTACAAACCGCAGAATGACAGATAACACAGGTCTCGCCTCGTAAGCACTGTGCCCAACTGAAATAAACGTACATCGGTCGCTACAAGGTATTCCCATCTCTGGTAACCCGTCTCCCACCCACACCCAGCGGGATGGACGGGCCCCGCCCCTCTCCACCGCCGACCGACCGGCCGACCGGGGGTCATGACCTCGGCCGGCGGCTGTGACCCCGGGCGAGCTCCGGCCAGCCTCTCCAGCTACGGAAGGTGGCGCCGCCTAGCCGCCGTCCGTTGAACCCAACCTGTGTTCATGACTCCGACAAAATTGCTCGGTCGGCAAATTCAAGGTCGCTAGCTGGGGGCGGCGGCCGCACGGCCGTGGCCGGCCCGTCGACTCGCGCGTATGACTCAAACTGTGGTTGGTGTGTTGTGCAATGCGGGCGAGCAGCGGGATAGGCGGTACGGAGCGCTGTCAGGAAAAGAGCGGCTCGCCGCGGTAGGGTAGCTCGCTGCAGGGCCAAGGGTTGGTCGCAAAACATGTGTTTTTATTTTTTTCATATAATTTTTCGACCTTTCGAAAAAAAAAAAACAGAATATAGGTTTGTGATAGAACACATGCCGATAATTTACTCTAGCAAGTTTTAGCCCGATGTCTTCAAAAATAGCTAAGTTATACGCATTTTACTCAAAATTTCACCATTATCGATTTTTCACATTCATTTTTCAGTAGATTTTAAACATCCTACAGCAAAATAAATAACACTATTGTGTTCCTGAGCTCAAACTGCATCTGATAGACTTCTATTTTGTTGAAAAATTCAGCTTCAAAATTTGACCTTTTTGACCTGAGAGTGACCTGACGGTCTGACCTCAGCTATATTCAGCTAAAAATAATCTCAAATGACAAAAGCGACACTATTGTTTAAATCTATTGCTGAAATGGACCATAAAACATGTGTCACGTGACCGATGCATGATATAAAATTTCAGTGACCTAGGATATTCGACGGGTAACCTGGAGGGGGCCTTTATCTGAAAAATTCGCAGCACAAGTTCGGTAGTCGGTACCCTCCGGGTATCTAAGACATATCAAGGAGTGCGTACCCAAGCCAAAAATGAGCCTGGTCGGACTTGTTAGCAGGCGGCCAGACCCTCAATTGTGAACAAACCAAAATGCTAATTGGTAATTTTTACTTTGACCTGATCTGTGTGACGTCATTGGTGGGTTAACTCTGGGTCAATGAAACTGGGTTTCACTTAACCCTCGCATGTGTGCGGCGTTTGCCAGCTTCTAATGTGTAGGGGGGGGGGGTCGGTTGGACCCCCCCCCCCCTTGCCGTTTGGCCCCTGATCGAGCTAGAGCTTCGCGGAAAAAAACGAGCGTGTTGCCCGTGACGAGAGGAAGCCGATGATACCCAATTTTAAGGTCCTAGGTCGTTGGTTGACCTTCCAGGTCAGGTCAATGACCCAAAGTCGGGAAAATCGGGACCTGTTAGAAAGTCGTAAAGTGTGGCTGCTAAGGGGTTTTTCGGGGTGCTGATCACGAATATCGTGTTAGTTTTGATCACAGATGATGTCTTGAAGCATTTAGACCAGGTCGGGTCAGGTCAGGTCAGGTCAACCAGTAGGCGTCGTGACGGGTATTCGTAGTACGTGTCAACCGCCTCTGACAGCTTCGTAACATGTTACGAAGTCACCAAAACTACTTCGTAAATGTTCAAATGGTTGCTAAATTCGAATTCAGCTCCAAAAACTAGCCTAGAAACATGTAAAACTCGAAAAAGTGAACCGAGGTCACCCGAGGTCACCAAAGGTCAATGACCTGACCTGACCTTCAGGTGACCTTGACACACACGGGAGTAACATCAAATCACATGTTTGAACGTTTGAAACCACGAAAAGCTTGCAAACACGCGGCTAGTGCTAGCCGACATACGCGAAATCGCGATTCCGGCCAAACATGGTCTCTGAAAAGAGGTCACAGGTCAAAGGTCATTTGGGTCAGGGTCATGAAATTTTCAGGGTAGGTGTAAAATTGATCAATGGGAGGGTACTGAAAGTTTCGTCGCGATCGGCCGCTTTTTACGCGAGTTATTCGCGAAAAACCATGGGGGGGGGTCCATCCGACCCCCCCCCCCCCTACACATGCGAGGGTTAACAGTTTTTCCAAGGCTATCAGACGCTGTCTGGATTTTAACGATTGGCCCAGTAGTTTCAGAGATAGGGGGGCCTCTGTAGAGCCCCCCCCCCCTCCCCCAGTCACTCGCGTTATGGAAATAACTCCAGGTCATGCGCGGGCTAATTCTCGCTGAAGTAATGCTCACTCGTTTTCCTCGAGAGATATGACATTCGCGCGTAAACAAGTGCAGCACTGGGAGATACGGTCGCACTGACAGCAAAGGTTACCACGAGGAGAGTGCCTAGTGGTCGGCTCGGGGGAAACTAAACATATGAGCAGTGGTTTCCGCATGCGTATAGGGTGAGCGATAAACGATAAACGATAATTTTCGCTGTTAAGTAAATCGGTTATCGTTATCGTTTATCGCTAAATTTTGAAAATTATCGCTCATCCACATATCGCAAGTTACAAAAATTATGAACGATAAGCGATAAATATAAAACGGGATGATTGAAAAATGGAAGACGATCGACAGTGTATGCCGCGCGACAGTAGGTATGTGTGCGCAACCTGTTGCCATCTGCTAAGTGTACAGATCTGTCAGACGGCCGACGGGTGGTATAAATTTGCGCGGCGGACCGGGCAGAGGTCAGTCACAGCGGGGCCTACTCCCGCATATCTGGAGGAGTGAACAAAACAAGTATATAATGAACTTGCTCCAGAAAGTCAAACTCAGCATCAAAAACTACGCCAACTTAGCTAAGGTTTCCGTCTTTGACTACTCCCGAAATAAGAACGTGCTCGTACCGATATTAGTAGGATTAAGAATTACAAAGCTTAACTTGTCATAATTACGGCGCGCCTACAACGCATTACGTCTTTTGCCAATTGGCGAATTTTCACAGTGGAGGTACCGTTTCGTTATCGCTGTTAAAAAACAATTATCGTTATCGTTTTATCGTTTACATATCGTTTCGTTATCGCTGTCAAAACAATTTTCGTTATCGTTCTATCGTTTTATCGCTATCGTTGTTAATTTTAAAAAAAAATATCGTTTATCGTTTATCGTTATCGCAAACCTTCCTTATCGTTTTATCGTTATCGCAGGTGCGAAAATTAGTTGTCGCGGAAAGCACTGCATATGAGGGAGAGGGTTCGGGGAGACGGACACGGTACCTAAGTAGGTAGGTAAGTACAGGTCTCGCGGGTTTTAGCGGTAGGTTTTGCACCTAGAAAATTTAGTGTACTTCAGGCTATATCTTCGTCGTCTTAAGCTTTTAAGTGTTGAAGATGCGATCGACTTGTTGGGTAACAAGCCGGCCAGGATCGTGTAAAATGGCTTCATCGTAGATCGATTAGTTTCTGAGATATAACCGGAAATGTAAAAGTGCAAAACCTACCGCTTAACCCGCGCCCTGGTGTGGGTCTGAGCCACCTTCGCCCTGGTGGGGGGGGGGGGCCAAAATGACCCCCCCCCCCGTCTAACTCGAAAACGAAGAGGGCTAGGAAGACGCGGAAAAAAGCAAACGAAAGCCCATAACAAGTACGTTCGAAAGTATTTCAGTCATTTTTTCGCTAAGGTCAATATTGAGGTCGCTAGAGGTCATCATAGGTCAAATTTCAGTGTTTTCGGTGTTGCCGGACATATTCCGCTGTAGCTCGGAAACTAGAAGAGCTAGAGAGCCGCGGAAAAAAGCAATCGATAGCTCTTTTCAAGCTCTTTCGCCAAGGTTCGTCAGATTTGACCTCAGCTCAACGGTTTGGCCCACAGAGGTCATGCAAGGTCAACTTGGCAAATTTCGTTGAAAATGTTTTTAACTATAGCATGCATTCACGAGAAAATAGAGAAACGATTCATGCACCATCGTGCTTGGCTCGTCGAGACGCGTCGAATGATATATAGTTTGACCTCGAAAGGTCATTTTGAAAATTTGACCTCAGGTCAAGGTCATGACCTTACCGAAATAGGTCATGCTGCATATCATTCGATCCGCATTGACGAGACAAACACGATAAACGTCGAACGGAGTCTCTATCTCTATTCAATAACAAGTAAGTGCAGAAAAACCGCTGGTGACCTCTGGTGACCAGGGAGATGACCTAGCGTGACCTCAGCGAGGTCACAAGCAAATGGTTTCACATGGGCTGTGATTTGCTGACCCAAGACACTTCAATAACGAAATATAGGAACAATCACGCCCGATTTAGCTGAAAAACAACTACTTTTCGATTCTCCCATTGACTTATAATGGGGAGCAGCGATGACCTGACCTGACCTTAGGTCACATTTATAAAAAATCCGAGATAGCCATTTTGTAGAGCTGGGTGACATCTTCAAGTACTGTAAATTTTACATCGATCGGATAAAAGCTGTGCCTTTGAGAGAGCTTTGAACTTTTTTAGAGGTGGTGTCAGTTTTGGTGACCTTGTGACCTGACCTGACCTGACCCGAACCCCCCAAAAAAGGACATGATGTAAAAATGTTGAATAAACAGCTATACAAAGTTTCAGGGCGCTAACTCAAGTGGTTTCTGAGTTATCGCTGAAAAACCACAGGGGGGGGGCCAAAATGGCCCCCCCCCACCAGGGCGAAGGTTAATCTCGCGAGACCTGTACAAAGGAGAGGATGACGGAGTGGAAAGCTTCTGTCTATGAGAACGGAAGGAGAGACCTATTAGAACGGAAGGGATGTCAAAAAGGACGGAAGAAGAGATCGAACTGAGGACGGAAGGATGAGGATAGACGGCCCAGGGGAAGGAGACAGCTTTCACGGCGAACGGATGGCAGAAAAAGCGAGAGTTGATATAAGGGCCGAAAGGGGTCAGAGAAGGATGGACAGGTGGATGAAAGGAAGGTATTTATTCCAGAGTAATGAGCCGAGTTGTAAAAAAGTTGAAATAAGGGATGTTTGACCTGTAATGACCTTTAGTGACCTGACCTTTGACATAACCAGAAAATGACAAGTATTTTCTTCACGCCTTTTAGCGCTCTTTCGAATGCCGCTTGCCGCTTACCGCTTACCACTGTACGGACCCGCGCACGTGTCCCTAAACGGCTCTAAGAGGGGGAGGGAGGCCTTCCGCACGGCCCAGCGCGGGCGCCGGGCGGCACCGAGCGCCGGTCCAGCGCGGGATACCTAAAAGGTCATGGGAAGTGCCTTTTATGACAATAGCTTTTGATGGAAAAGTAGGTCGGTAGAAGCACTTGGAATGTCTTTAGCTCAGCAATACGATCAGATTGATATGCAACATAACCTCATTTCCGTTTAGATCATGTTAAATGGAATCCTTTGCAGGTAACCTTTATTTGTCTAGCTTAGGTAAAGTTCATTCTGCGGGTCTCGATAAATAAAAAAGAGAGAAAAAAAGTCGTCACGATGTTAATTCATGTTATTTCAAATTTTATTCATTTTTATTTTTTAATTTTTTATTACATTATTTTTAATCTTTATTTACATTTTATTTCATTCATTCAAATTCATGTTACGATGTTAATTCAAGTAACATTCTCGTTGTTTTAGGCAATGGACTATCGAGTGTCCGGCGTCGTTGAAGAGTCTCCTCCTCTCGATCGGGCGAAGTTGACCTTAGGCCCACGTCGCCGTCATCAATGCCAAGGCTATATCGCAACGGTCAGATAGGTACAGGCCATGTCACCGTCTACGGCTACGGGCTTGAGCGTCTCAGAAAAAGCAAACCTCATCCTAGTAAAACCGATTGCCTGATCTTTATGTAACATTCATTTTTTTAGGGTAATGGGCCTATAAATATTAATTTACTTATTAGTAGCATTTTGCCTGGATCCTACTGCCTACACCCCACGGTGACTTTACACCCTGTACCTACCCAAGGCCTTTTACCGAACTAAACGTATGCACATAATAGCCGTTTTCACGACGGCCATCTGGTACACATTTGGTGCACATTTGGTGCAGATTAGGTGCAGATTTGGTCAAGTTAGTTCAGTGTATCTCTTAGTAGGTATCAGTTATAGGGTTGCGCTAATTGTTTATATGCCTGCTTTGTCATATTATCAGAGAGTATCATCGGTTAAAACACTGAAATAAATTCATAAAGTGAAGATATTTGCTGTAAAAGAGATTAGCTGCAGGTTTGGTCAAATTAGGTGCATTCACCGGAGAGCCCGTCGTGAAAACGGCTAATAACCGTATATTTAGACGGCGGACGTCGGCAGGCCGATATAGGGCCTTGCACCGATGCTGGGAGCATTGGTAGGCCGATCAAGATTCCTTTACTACTCGTAGCCGACAGCAAGATTTCCATTGCACGCCCAAACAATTTATGCTGGGTTACCTAAGCATCTACTTCAATTTATCCCTGAGGATAAAAACGTGATAAATGTGCTATGGATGGGATAAACGTGAACACGACAAACGGTGTTGGTGCCAGAAAGACGGGCGCGGGGCCGGGCAGGTTAAGATGGACTCTGAACAATTCTTCTAGTTAGGTACCTCTTATACGGCCTTGCTAGTTACGAAAGTTTACTTTCCGATGAATTTGTTTTTTTTTCGTGATTCAATTATATGGGCTCAAATTATTGACGACCTTGGGCTCATTAGCGAATTATGCCAAACTGCCAATCAGCGATCTTGGCTCCTTTGCACCGATGCGCATGCGCACTAACATTTTGCCAGACGGGAGCGTTTCATGAGTGGCGCGCGCGTCCTTATTGATGGTTTTCATGCGCCAATTGATTTTTTACGTAATTTGGATATATAATAGCCAACTTATTGACTTTTTTGGAGCACTTATAGGTAAGTCTTTGCTATTTTATCTCGTTGAAGTCGATATGTGACTCGTTGAAGCCCCCGCGAGTTGGTGCGCACGCCGTGGGTTTTGTTGGCCCGGATGCCGAGTCCAAGTGGAATTTTGCACAATTTCAATTTTAGAAATGTTTTTCATGCTTCATTTGAAGAAAAACTGTTGAATTCAATTTTTTCATTTTTATTTTCGCGTGAATTAACTGCATTCTGCTCTTAAGCAAACAATTTGGGCAGTGGGCGAGGTAAAGGTGGTTCAGTTTTGGCAACACTTCCAAAGCTGCCCTAAAATACAATTGATTTTAATTGTTTTTGTTATGCAGATTTTAAGTATTAAATATTTGATGAAACGTTTCAATTGTTGAAATGTTTTTGGTGTTTATGAATTATGATGTAAAATGAGTCGAGTAATTGATTGCCAGTTGCGGAAAATGACTTCAAGCTACCGTAATTGTATATTGAAAGTGGGTACTGTTAATTTTGTGTTGTTTTTCTATTGTTTTAACATACCAAGAAAGCTTATTTATGACAGTGTGATGAATGGGCACTGCTAGTTAAGTGGCATTTTGTAGGCTAACATCAATTTTCAATGTTGTAAGTTACCTATGCGATTTTGTCTCAATTTTTTTTTTATCTTTAACCCGGTTTACATAGCATATTTGACGAGGCTCTAGCTCGTTAATTTGGCGATAATTTCGTTGCAGTGGTCTTCAAATATTTAGAGGGGATCATTTTGTAAATTGTTTAGCACCATTGGCATCCTTAGCAACGTCACGGACGGAGATATAAGCTTGCAACAAACCCTATGTAAACGCGTCTATTCTTTCTTCAAGTTTTATGACATAAAGAACAATATGCTTCTCTAAATTAATGGATTGTAAAACTAAAGTGTCATTGCATGTTTAATTTATCATTAAATCAGATTTCATAGGGTTTCATGTCATTATTGCATGTGAGCTTCAGCCTTCATTAGTTCATAATTTCTATTTCAAAATGTTGTCTTATAGGGAAGCACAAGATGGCACCTGATAGACAAAATAAATCTAACCTGATATCTTTTAGGAAGAAATGAATTTTATAACATCTGATTAAAATGTTCCTACATTCATCTCAATGGTGAATATTTTGTTTTGAGGTGTCCTGCAATAATTTATAGATCTTCAGTCTTTACCAGTACCATGGTACCAGAATGCTTCAGTTTCTGTCAAAATTGCCATGTTTACTTTTGAAGAAACATTTTTGAGCTACTTTTCTTATCTTATTATTTTCTCTACTCTATAAAGATAGTACACCATGCTTCAATATGTAAATGCTACCATGTACTGCTTTTATCTGTAGGTCTGTATAGTTATCACTTTTTGTTTTGAGCAATAATTACAGATACTTTGATTAGAATAAGATAGCATTATCTAACCAATACAGAACCTTTTCCTCTGCTCTGCTGTCAATTGTTTCACTGATATAAGGTCTGTGACCAATATATTTGAAAAAGTTCAATATACTGTTGACAAAACATTTTTTGGGGAGGAAGAAAAAAAACTGAAAAAGTCATCTAAAAGTATGTAATTACATTAGCAATAGTGATCCATCAACAAGTGCTGAATCATATTAAGCTCACAGAGAATAATATTGACAAAATTTATATTATGATTTAGAGCCTGTTTGTGTCCCAGATATCTCTGCCGTCGGGAGGAAAAAAGCCGTATCTGGGGCACTTTTTCGAATTGAAAATTGTTCAGGAGAGGCAAAAACGCGTTTTTTTGTTTTAAAATTCGTTAACTTTGCTCAATAACGAAACAAAACATACTACAGTGATCGGAAAGAAATTTTACATCCAATGAAAGTGGTCATAAAAGGGAAATTATTTTAACCTAAAAGCAAAAGGCGAAAAACTTTTTTGCTTCCAATTCAACCCCGAGTTTGCGTAATCTTTCTTTCACGAAAAAAGCTGTATCGTGGAAGAAAGCCGCATCGCACGAGACACCTGAGCAATACTGTCATGAAAAAACCGTATGTCTGATACATTGGTTAACCGATCGGGAATAAAGCCGTATCGCCATTTTTGTTTAATCATATTGTCGTCAAAAAGCAGTATCATCGGTGCATTTCTGTTGACAGCATATTAGTTCATAAAAGTACTAAAGCATTTCCGCTGCTGGTTCCGTTCCACTGATTCAGCTCTCAAGTATGGATATTTAATAGAACGTTCGATACAAAAACAAACATGATACCCATTTTAAACTACATTATCCATGCATAATCGCATTATTGTCGTAACTTGAGGCTCTTGGATTCTGATTGCGCAGGGTGCCATCAAAAGACAGCTTGACCAACCGACCAGGGACGTAGCCAGGGGGGGGGGGGAGGGGGGCAGAGGGGCCATGTCCCCCTCTAAAGGCGAAAAATAAAATAAAACTTAAAAAAACACAGCTGCACCACACCCCAAGAGATAGTGGGCCAAATCCGAGGAGTTTTCCTTTTCTGGAGGGACACGACACTAGGCCGCGACCTGTGGCCCCTCCCTGAGCAAAATCCTGGCTACGTGCCTGCAACCGACAAGGGGAATCACGAATGCTGTCTTTGTACGGTGCTTCAATTTTCGATTACACTGGACTCCAGAGTTAATTCTGAGCCACCGATATATTCGGAGAGATGAGTGTGCCGGTCTGCCGCTGCGCCGGAGCCACGGCGACAATGTCGAGAGAACCGAGATAGTGTAGTTTCCCATCGTCGATCTGCAGACCTCAAAGCACTTCAAGGGGGCAAGAGACGATGAGTGGGAATGTTTTTGATTAGCTGGACACAAGGTTCCCGGAAAAGGGACGCTGTTAAGTCACGTGGTGCGCAGCTACAAGCACGGAACCGCCCGGCTCCTGAACCAAAATAGAGGATGGTGTAAGAACTTCAGGAATTCCCGTTAAGAAACTGCATCTACAAAGCCTGTGCGAAACATCTAGGGCGACAGCACCGTGCCGCGGCTGAGGGTGTAAGCAAATGCCGCCTCATTGTCGGAGATCGCTAGACTGCTGAGAGCTCCACACGTCTGCGGGAACGCCCTTTAGAGGGCGCACCCTCAAAAGGCCCCCCTCCTCCCCCCAATGTGCACTCGTATTCACAGGGCTCTGATTATAGCGCCTACTGCAACAGAGCAGAGGGCTATTCAGTACGCCTTGCTGCATCCTCCATCGGTCACAGCTGTGCTGGTAGGCTCTGGGCAGCTGCCCGTAGAATATGACAATGTTGGGCTTGTGTGGGTGCTACAAGGTAGCCTAAATTTCCAATATGATTGAGCATCATGGGTATGAGGGAGCCGGAAAGAAGACGGTAAAGTCATTGACCAGGAATGAAAGTGATAGGGGATGACGTCCCAAAGATACATGGGCGTGGTCACAATTATCACAATAAATGTGACGAGGTTGGCAATAGCAATCGACCTTTCACGGTATTCAACTGTATCTTCAACGGTTTTACGACAAAGATTGTAGGTCGTCGTACTAAGCGTGCCGGCTACGAGCTGCATGTCTATGATGATTACCGGGTCGAACTTAACATGATGCTATTTTGGTTGTGGGGTGGGGTGGGGACAGGGAGGCCAAATTCATCATGGGGGAGGCTAGGTCGGGTATTTTTTATTGGAATTTTAAACGAAGCTGGGGAAAAGAACGGTCGGATTATACTGGCGCTCCCGGCTGGTTAGCACATCAAAATACTGAATGCCCGGCACCCTGCTGACACCACCGAGCTCGCACAGTTCTGTTGGCTTCAAGCTTCTCAAGTTCACTCCCTATTTTATTTCAATTAAAATTCCCCTATAAATGGTCACATATTGCTACGATCACGTAGCATGTTTGTGTAAATGTTCAACTGTTCCGTCCAGGATATGCCGAAGCCATGCTAAATGAGTAGATACGGCTTTCTTCCAAACTGCCTGGACCAACGATTCGGCTCATATTTCACAGGCTACCATCAAATAAAAGCCGTATCTACAAGATACGGCTTTCTTCCTGACTTATCAGTTCCACATTCTTTGTTTGAAATTTTGTATAAATGCCGTATCTGTCGAATTTAAGGATACGGCTTTCTTCCTGCGTGTTTTGCTATCCCTGATGTAACAAATCCGTTTTTGAATTTTTATATTATATATAATATTTTCCTTTTTGGGTGTACACATGTTTGAGCAGTACCATTAAACGCATCATGAAAAGAGCTTTCCAACGATATCAAAAACGAAAAATCGATAAAAATGCGACTTACGGCTTTTTTCCTCCCGACGGCAGATCTTGCATGTGATGTAATTTAGTAGGCTTGCTGCTCAGATACATACTAGGTATATTTTAATAAATAAGTGTATATTCCACATAAAACACATTTATATTTCACTTTTTCTGCAAGCTATGAGCTCTGATGAGCTCATAGCTCTCTATCCACAAACATGGTGGACAGACTAGCACCACTGTTGAGCTGCAATAACTTGAGTCCTATGCTGCTGTGTGTTTTGATTTTGGGATGACATTGATTCCCAGATTAGGTGAACATTAGGAAATGCATCAAGGCAGCTGTGTAGGATACAACATAATAAGGTAATCAAGCCTTGCCAATGAAGTCAGAATGCATCTAATAAAGGCCCAATCTCAAGGTCTTAACTCTCCTGAGACCATTGTCACTCCTTTGAATTTTGATGTTTTTAATGATGAGAGCAAGTGAAAGTTATAGAGCAGATTGTTTCATAATTGGCCATTGATTCCAGCTGATTCTTTGGCACCAACCACATTTTAAGTCTGTCAGGCTACCAAATATTCAACTGTGGCAATGTGACATCCTGCATTAGCATCAGAGATGTGTCATGTCTTAAAATGTCACAATTTTTAATACTCTGAGCCAGGGAATCTCATAGGGAATTGAATGATTCAGGAAACAAGGCCCCTCTGGATGTTGGGCTTTAATTGGGTTAGTGAGCTTAAGAAGAGATCAATGGACTAAGAGTCAGTCACTGATTTGAATTATATGCAACCTCACTCAATCAAGCTCTGACTTAACCAGCTTTGACATAAATTTGACTTAAGGTCTACAATCTACATGTAATTTGACTTTTCCTAAACAAGGATATTTTTAATGTTCTGGAGAAATAATGAACACTGTATTTAAGTGCTTGTTTTACAAAAAAAAAGCTGGTCACTGAAAGGCTAAACCTGAGCTATGGGCTATTAATCTGTCCTCAAGTCACCAGCTGGCCTGAAATCTCGAAGTGTTGTACCATTCCGACCGCAGTTCGTAACGGTTTCCGAGATCTTTTTCGCGAAACTCTAGCACAATGCGAAACGGCGAAGGGCCGGGGAACCCTATGCCTAGTAGTGTCCCTATGCCTAGTAGTGTGTAGGAAACTAATATATCCCACCAGGGCTAAAAATAATGATCTGCAACCTTTCTTGACTTGCTCCTTTTAACCAGCCTCGTGCCGACGCCCCGTCTCTGTGCGTACCTCTAACTCCTGCCTTTGTGAGGGTCCTAACGCCGTGCCCTGTCAGTACCGTAAAGTGGGGCTATTTGAAACGGATTTTACAGTTTTTGGCCTCTCCCTTTAAGACGGTTCATATTTCTTATAGCATGTAAATTGCAAAAATGTAGGTCTCCGTAAGCTCTTTCATATAGGTGCATTTTGGTTCAGCTAGTAATAATAATTAAGGATATTTTTTTAGTTAAAGCCTGTCTCAAATAGCCCCATAGGGTGGGGCTATTTGAGACAGTTTTAGTTACGAAGAAATTGAAGAAAATCGGTCACGATAGAGATAATTTTTTAAATGTCATGTGATTGGAAATTAAATTTTGATCATTCTGGCAAAAATTGCTTTTGCAAAGACAGTTACATTTCCTTTATATTCAATCTTTTCCTTTTTCGTAGGATGCTTCATTTCGGTAGGTTATAAAATTGCATCACTATATGCTAAGGCTGTCATAATATGATGTGACCCTAAACTTTCCAATTTGCAGAATGATCATCAAGGACTATCCTAAAGACAACAACAGTAAAATTTTGAAAGAAAGTTTTTGTACATAGCCCTGGTAGCGTGAAAACAGACATACTGAAAGTCGGTGGGGCTATTTGAGACAGGCTCGCTACCTAATGAAGCACACCGTATTGAATCAAACGAGCTAAAAGGTTTCCCAAAACATTTAAGTGAATAGTCTGCATGATTCCTTGTTCCATTGCACATCTTCATGCGAAGAAATAACAGAAAAATGTTAAGCGGTTTTGATTTTATGACGATTTTCCTCGATCGCTGCATGCTGTATCAATTGGCCGGTAACCCTACCACATCAAGCCTACTTGCATAGGCTCACCTAACAGTACGTTCATGTGTTAAGTAATCTTCAATGGTGTTTTTTGGTCAACCAAGGTAGACATGTGTTATTGTCGACTAAGTAAGTGACTGATGAAGCACATTTTAAGCACATATTCATCAGAATAACTAGTTTGGTCACCAGCTAAAGGGTCATTATGTTACACTGCGAACATGTAAATATTGCTTCCTGCTAAATACCATGAACCCACTGCACGTTTATGACCACGACCAATTCATCGGTGTTACTCATGTCGAACGTTCGATGCACTTCAAGTAGATGGTGGTAAGTCTTCTCGGGTGCAATCACATCACCATTATCAGTAGCTATTTGGCATATCGGTTGAGGTTTGACCAGGTGGGCATCATCGGGATTCTGAGACAATGGGTTACGCAATCGGCAGTAACGTTAACAATGTATAATATTTTCATGAAAAATATGCTTAGCCTATAAGTAAAACGGTAGTAACGATAGATGCAGTGCCGAAGCTGTTAAAATTTCAACTATGTTAAGCGGCAGGTAGGGGTCCTTTTCGAGCAATTTAAATTGTGCGTTTTTCTGTATTTCGTATTTTAGACCAAATTTCTTTCAAAACTTTTCGAAATTTTTCAAAAAGGTTACTCAGGTCATTCACTGTTCAATTCCACATCAGCCTAAGCAAAAATGACGAAAAAATATCGAACGGTTTTCATTTTACAGCGATTTTACTAAACCACTACTTTACTGTCTCAAATAGCCCCACTGTCTCAAATAGCCCCACTTTACGGTACCTCTAACCAGCGGGCCCCCCACCGGCGCCCTGTCTCTGTGATTTAGGCATATGTAACCGGTCCTGCGTCCGTCTCTCCGTCAGCCAGGTGATGACGTCTCTGTGAGTACCTGTGACCAGCCCCGTGCCCTCTCTTTGAGTACTTCTGAGCAGCCCCGTGCCCTCTCTGTGAGTACCTCTGACCAGTCCCGTGCCCAGTCTGTTAACATCGGAGCATTGCTGACGTCTCTGCGAGTACTTCTGACCTCTGACCAGCCGTGTGCCCTCTTCCTCAGCAGCGGAGCGGTGATGATGTCGGCTCCGCCGGCTGCACCGCCGGCTCCCACGCCACAGGCGCTGCACCGCACGCAGTTTATCCGCGGCGTGCGCGACTCGATGGCCAAGGCGCTGGCGCAGGGCCTGGGCGACTCGCCGGCCGAGGCGGCCGCGCCGCCCGCGCCGCAGCCACCGCCCTCGCCGCGCCAGCAGCAGGTCCGGCCCAAACCGGCGCTGGTGAAGAACTCCCCCACCCGGATATCGCTCACAGGTGGGATAATGAACGGCCAGCGGGTGAGATCAGTTAGCTGCTCACAGCCATATCAACCACTTTCTGTCTGGTGGTGTGATACTATTGGTTATGTTTCGAAACTTTAGACTAACCGTCACATAGGACCTCAAGTTTGTTCACACCCGATGACAATATCGAAGAAGTTTTTCCTTAAAAAAAGAATCATCAAACCATGTGTCATTTTGTGCTTCAATATTGTAATCGGGTGTGAACAATTATAACAATGTCTTATATGCTACATGGAATCTTCTTGAATATCGGTATTTGAATAGCTCCGATGAAGAAAAAGGACATCTAATTAAACCTGTCAGAGCTGCAGTACATATGACACTGTAGGTACTGCTGTAGGACAGCCAGAGTGTAATGTGGCTGGATGTCGACGAACTGTGTCGGCCGGAGCCGTAGGCCGTACCCGTTACTTCGGATTCGCCGAATCCGACTCCGTGGCGACTGATAGCGTCACGCCCCTGGGTGTACGCTTGGTAGCTCAATGGATTGGTCATCGATTGCAGAATTGAATTTGGCTGGTTAACACTGAACCATTGCTGGCCCGTTAGTTTCCTTGACGCGTTGCTCCGTATTTATCATGTTAGTTTTGGGCTTTGCATTATATTTTCCGCTTTGCTGTTCAGGGTCTTACCCGCTGTTAGGTAAGCTCGTTGTGATACCTACTTTCCTATCTTCGCTCTTTTCCCGCCGGGTTATGACTGCTTCACTTTTTGATCACCTTTGTTCATAGATCTCTGCATACCAGAGGTCTATGCTTCGTTAGAGTGAGAGAATGTCTCATGCTATCGTACAATGAAGTAGTGCATATTGCCAGTCAGATTATGGTATTCTATGAAGGTAAATATGGCGCTGGCACAAAACTGTTTCTGTAACTGTCTTTACTAAAGGGTGCCTACTACCTACCTGGGGTAAAACTATGGTTAACTTGCTCTGCCCGCGTACACAGCCACCTGTCTCCTAGTCACCTCCCTAATTATGCTGTAGCGTTCACACAGTGCTCTTGTTTTCAGGCCGGCTCAAGCAGCTGATCGGTGTCGGGCCTGCCAGTGACGGAGTCAGTGGCGACCCTCCTGCCTCCGAGCCGCTGGTGCGGACCCCGCCGCGCACGGTCCCGTCCCCGGCCGCGGAGGTGCTGGTTCGGACTCCGCCGCGCGCCGCCCCGTCGCCAGCCGCCAGCGTGGGCTCGGAGTCGCCGCTACGCTCCCCAGTCCGGGTGTTGAACCTATCGGACCATCGGCCGCGCTCGCCGGTCCGCGTGCTGTCCGCGGCGGACCAGCAGCGGCTGCGGCCGGCGCCGCCTCCCGCCACCAGCCTGAAGCCGATCGTCCGTCTGCCAGAGGGCTCGGCGGCGGAGCAGGCCGGTGTCGAGCCCGCCGCTAACGGAGAGGCGAGTGAGGAGCGGAAGCGCATGATCGCGCTGGCGCAGCTGAAGATACTGCAGCGGAAGACGCCCGGCGCGCAGAAACTGGCCGCTCAGGAGTCGCTCTCGGCGGTGAGCGTGGCTGGCGGCTCCCCGATCAAGACGTATGGCCGCCGCGCAGAGCTGGTGGCTGCGGCCGCCGCTGCAGCCGCCAACGGCGCGGCTGAGTCGCCGCCGCCGGCCCCGCCGCCACAGCCGCGGAAGAACGTGAAGCTGATGCCGCCGCTGACGCTGCTGGTGCCGCCGGTGAAGTCGCCGGTGGTGTCGCCGGCCGAGCTGCTCAAACCGGACGTGGAGGACGCTAGCCGCTGTGCCAGCGGCTTACTCATCAGGAAAACCTACTACAAGGCTACTCCGGTGCAGCAGCAGCCGCCGCCGACAGCTGTCGGACGGAACGGCTCGCTGCAGTCACCGCCGCCGCCGCAGCCGCCGCAGCAGGCGGCGGCGCCGGTGGAGCGGCGCGGGCGCGGCCGTCCTCGGCGCGCTGCCGTGGCCGCGGCGGCGGTTGTGTCTGAGGCTGCCGCTGCCGCCCTGCAGCAGGCGCCGGCCGCCGCCCCGGCGCCACCGGCAGCCACCATGCTCCCGCCGCCGTCACCGGTACCGTCGACTGTACCGGCGGGCGGCGTGAAGTTGGTGGCGGTCGGGTCGTCGCCTGCGATGGGACGAAGCCGGAGACAGACAGGTAGTGCGGGCAGTCCCATAACGATCACCGTCCTGTCCTCCGCCTCCGCCCCGGCTGCCTCCACCGCCGCTGCCGCCGTGACCGCTCCCACCGCCCCATCCAACGCTCAGTCCGCCCCGGCTGCTGCCGCTGTCCCGGCCTCTCCCTCTGTTCCCGCTCCTCCTACACTCTCACCGGCCTCCTCAATCGCTGCTGACTCGCAGCCGGCGGGCAGGAAGCGGCGCCACGGCTCGAGCGGCCGCGGTAGCGATACATCTTCTGTACGTTCCTCCAGTGCTGACACCAGCCCTCGGCCCAAGAAGAGCCGACCGCCTTCACGCGATCTCAAGGCCCTGTTTGTCGACGAGGGCGCCATCAACATACTCTCGGAGATGAAAACTCTGAACGGCGAAAAGCGGCGCACGCGCGTCCCGTCGTCCGACAAGCTCGTCTACACGGCCAAGGCGGCGAAGGAGGCGCGCGATGCCACTACTTCGCCGTCAGCCACGAAGAGGTCTGTCGTGCCCGTGTGCGGCTCACTGAGGGCTCTGCCGGCGGCCCGCGCGCGCAGCCCGCTGAAAAAGGACGGTCGTACTGTCAACAAGATCAGGGCCAAGGCCATCAAAATGAAGAAACAGGCGGACGCTAAGAAGGCGGCTAAAATGACAACCAGCGCTAAACTGAAGGCACTGAAGGCAAAGATCAAGGAGGAATGCGAAAGCCCGAGCCCGAGCCCCAAGCCAACGCCCAAACCGGCGGCCAAAGCTGCTGAGAAGCCGGCAGGTCCGTCGGGCTCTCCCAAAGCGCCTAGTCAGAAGGCCGCTACCAAAACGCTGATTGCGTCAAAGGCGACAAAGCTGAACAAGGGGTCATCAGCTGTGACGGCTTTGGTCACAAAGAAGCCCAAAGCGACCGCAGCCGCGGCCGCGGGCCAGCTCAAGCCAAAGCCCAAGAAGCAACAACCGTCGCCTGTAGAGAAACCCGACGACGCGTCCACGAGCGGTAAGAAGTCTCCTGCGAGCGCGAGCGTGCCCTCTGCTGCCGGTCCGGCTCCGAAGGCGGCGCCAGTGCCCCAGGAGAAGGCGCCCAAACCGCCGCAGCCGAGGCTCACCCAGGACAAGAACCTCAACATCATCGAGAAGCGGACGGCCAAGGAGCCGAGGTCGGTGGAGCGCAAGAAGAGCGGCAGTGCTGAGGAGAGACAGCCGGTCTCGCGCTCGGTCAGCCGCGATAAGTCGTCGTCACCGTCGTCTAAGAGCTCGTCCAAGAGCTCGTCGCCGCTGCCGGTGCGAGCGACGCTGAACACGGTGCCGACCAGCCCCAGCTCACTCAGTAAGTGGCGGACGCTGTCGATTGCAGGCTCTGTGGGAATTAATTTAGCTTAAAGCTGAATCTATTCATGTAAAACATCTTAGAGTGAATCCGTAGTAAACGCTCATAACTTTTTTTGTTCTTGTAAAAAAACGTAACTTTTTGTTAAGTGTTTTGAAGCTCAGTGGATCCAAATGAGTAGCCATTGTCACGGCATCCAAACTCTTACTCTGTTTGACTGTCTTCAGGGCTGCAGATTGCTGTAACACCGTCCGACCCTCCTGTCCTTCCGCCCGGCAGGTTACAGCTCCCTACAGCGTCGTCTGGAGGTGGCCACACTGAAACAGGTGCGCCGGAAGGAGGCGCCCGGAGATCGGGAGCGCTCCAGCTCTCGCTCCAACCTGGGCACCATCCGACACCGGGAGATCTGCGTCAAAAAGTTCGACCGGTTCCACCAAGTAATCTTGTGTCCGGTCACCACGCGGCTCAAGGCTGGGCTGAACGTACAGGTGAGGTGTGCGGACGACGGCCGGTGGAGGGGAGGAGAATCCATAGAACCTTGCTAGGATGCTGCAGGTCTGTGGGTACCACTGCCACCTCCGTGTGAACTGTCAACTGTCAGGTGATGTGGGGTGTTTGTAAGCGCTACTGAGACCTGACTCTGCCTGAACTGACCTCCGTTCGACGTATCAGACGATGTGGGAAGTATGGAAGTACCGATGTGACCTGACGTAACCATCAGGTGATAAGAGAGCTGGTCCGTGAATACCACTGACCATGTTATCCCCTTCCAGGTGATGCGGGAGATCCGCGAGTACCTGTCGGCGTGTGAGCGCGACCCGACGTGCCGGGCCGTGCTGCTCACATCCTCAGCCGGCCCCTTCTGCCAGGGACTGGACTATACCTGCCTGCTGGGCCTCAGTCCGGAGAAGCGCCGGAAGGCCGCCGAGGACCTGGCCAAGGAGCTCAAGTAGGTGGCGCTAGCGGAGGCGACGGTGACTAGGTCGCAGCTCTCTGCTTTTACAACTGTTACGGTTGCTGTTTTACGCTTAAGCTTCAGACTGATACTGATTTTTTCGGAATAATAAAAATTTACTTTTACGTGTATTAGCCGGTCATAATTGATGTCCAAATCCATGTTGCGGTTGCCGCTTTTTAGTTTGTTCGCTGTGTATTAGCGATTGTAGTTAAAGCTTTGGCTAAGTCGAAGCCCGTCTCTCATTTTCGCAGTGAGCGACCCGTTTGGTCTCTGACCCTCCCATCCCTCGTGCAGATTCTCACACCCGCCCGTTCGCCTCCGCAGGGACTTTGTGCGCGCGGTGGCCGGCTTCAGTAAGCCGCTGATGGCCGGCGTCACCGGCTCCTGCGTGGGTCTCGGTGTCAGCCTGCTGCCGCTCTGCGACCTGGTCTATGTCACTGAGAAGGCCACGCTGCAGATGCCCTACGCGCGGCTGGGTACCGTGCCAGAGGGCGGCGCCACGCACTCCCTGACGGCGCTGCTCGGACATGCGAAGGTAGGCGCGGAAGTGGTAAAGTGGGCCAAGGTAGGCGAGAGACGGGTAAAATACGTTAAGGTAGGCGCGGGACTGGTAAAATGCGCCAAGCTGGCCAGAATGGTACGGGTGAATACACTCTGGCACACTCTGGCTCGGCTGGGATTTATTGTCTGTAGCTTGTTTTTGGTGTCGTTATGCCCCGGAAGGGAAAGAATTGTGAAGCACGGGACTTGAAATGCTTGCTTTAATGTTTTGCTTGCAACGTCACCAGGTTAATAAACGATAGCCGGAACTCCCGTGATCGTCCCCTCTGACGCCGTCTCCCCCCCCCCACCCCTCTGACCATCCCCAGTCGGGTGCGATGGTGATGACGGGCCGCGCCATGACGGGCACAGAGGCGGTGTCGGCCAACCTGGCCACCGGACTCGTCTGGGCAGGATCCGCCTACGAGGAGCTGGTGGCGCTCGCCAGGCAGATGCTCGACAACGCCGCACAGGTACGGTACTCGTCCGCTGGGCAGCGACGCGCCACCAGTGTCGAGAGGGCGTGAATTATTTTCGGCGGCGCTCGTATTGCCTTACATTTACGTTTTCCGTCTCACTAACAGCCGTTTTGTTTGGCGAATTCTGTCTGAAGATCATTGACTGACTGGCCATCCCCGCTTCTTCCCTAAGATGATATTAATAATAATAGATAAAAATGGCAACTGAAGTAACCATTCAGTCAGTGATGTACATAAGGTTTTTGTTAGGTAGCTTTGCAAACATACACCAACCGATATTGATGACGATCGATAGCCGTTTGAGTAAAGAAAGCAAACGTGATCGCTATTTGATTCGATGTTGTATTTCGACTAGACGAATATTTCATATTATAGAGTTAGTGCAATATGAAGTTTAAGCTGGACCATGAAGCTGTCCCTGCTATTGAGATGTTTCAATCTCTCATAGCAGCGCGGCCGCAAATGTGATCGACCCGCTCCGTATTGAACGGTTGTAGTTTGGAGTTTAAACGACACTCAGAGGCAGCAGTGGCGATTCGCCGTCGGCTGTGGCTCCGACCGGTGTGAAGCCACAGCCGCCGGCGGCTCGACAGGTCTACATGCGTACGGCCCTCCAGCAAAAGAGTGGTTGGTTAGCCTATGTGCTTTTGGTGTAATAACTTTGAATGACAGAGACACTCCTGTAATATGACTCAATAGAAATGAGAAGAGGGTTCGTGCACACACTTCGGCAATGGTTTTCAACAGCCATTAGACGTAAACATCAATGCAGATCGCTTATTGTGATGTTGGCAACCAACCACTTAATACCTGGAGGGCCGTACGGACTAATTGGAGTGGCAGGCTGATGGGCTGAGCTGTGCGGCTGTATTCTGTGGTCGGCGGGACGGGGCTGCTGCCTTAATTATAGCGTGGTGATAGGTATGAAACCTTCTCCAGAGGTCAAACCCTTTGTGTGGTTCATTCGTCTCCAACTAATCTACGTTGCTATTCTGCCGTGACTGTGAAAAGGCGCTCCACGTGTCCTGTTTCTGACGTAAAATTCTGTGTCTTCCCTCCGATAGTGGCAGATCATCCATTTCCTGTCTGTTGTGCCGTCCTGTGTCTGACCCCACCCTGCCCTCTCCCAGCTACAGGCGCTGGAGAGTACCAAGGCCCTGCTGCGTCACTCACTGCGCGCCAAACTGGAGCAGGCACTCCACTCGGAGTGCCGCCTGCTGGTCCACCAGTGGAGTGCCCCCGAGTTCCAGCAGCGCGTCCGTCAGCTGTACGACGAGGGAGGTCTGCTGCTGCAGAAGGCCGGCTTCGACACCCAGTGACGCGGGGTGGCGGATGGCGCGGCGGTGTGTGATGTGCGAAGACGGCGCTCGACGTAGCAGCGTGTGCTGTGTGGAGACAAGCCATGATGTGCTGTGCAGAGACGAGCAGTGATGTGCTGTGCTCGGACGCGGTGTGCGTTGGCACTGATGTGTTGTGCGGCACAGTGCAAGACTATCACCGGAGGACTCTGAAAGGAGCGCCGGTAAAATGGCGGTGATCAGGGCAGGGACCGGCGGACGTCACGGGAGTGCTCTGCGCGAGAGACAGATACACCGCTCCCAGCACGGACCGCGCGGTGGTGCGAACGACGACAGAGTGTTTTCGATCAGTTTTGATGATTTGTGCGCCTGTGCGCCTCGTGCTGGTGGCCCGTTTTGGGCCTGTATAGCGTGGTTGCGAATGTGAGTGTGTGTTGTCGCTCCTTGTTCAAGGTTCGGCCGTTTTAGCAGTAATTATCGGGGGCGGAGAGGCGCAGCAGACTTGGGCCGGCCGGACCAACAGGCTTGTGACGCAATCTGTGTGCAACAGCTGCCAACGATCAGGACATTGGTCTCGGTCCGGCTGGCCTTCGTCCTTGCATGGTGTTACACAGTTAGTGGTTTTGACGGTTCAAGTTGTGGCACCTCACATACAGGCATTTAGCTGGCCAGCACGTGGCGCTGCCTACGTGCTGGTTGGTGAACTAGTAGTTCGCCTTACGGCCTCGTGGCGCTTGCTGCGCCGAGTTACAACAAACAGTACATCCATTGGGCCTTGGTGGGTGCGTCGGCGCCCGTGCTGACGCTGCCCCCCCCCCCGCGCATTTCGCTGCCCGTTGTGTATAGCTCGTGCACTGTATATTTACATGCTCCCCACTCGGCCCTGTACATACGGAGGGAACCGGCTGTACGCGCGAGCGATCCCGAGGCGTTACCATGCTCCTCTGGTCCCCTTTTGGCTGTAAGCGACTCCAGGCTGTAGCGTTGTTAAGTTTGCCACCTGTTATCAAGTACATCTCACCAAACTGACAACTGAGTACCTGGTTGTGTGCGCACCGCGGCACCCGCGTTTGGTACGGCCCGTGTCGGCTTGCTCACGTGCGGTGTACCCGCGGGTACCGCACGTGACACGTGCGACACGTGTGCTGGCCTCGCCGTGACTTGTTAGTGGCCACGGAGTTCTATTTTTTAACTGGCGCGCGGGGCTTGCCCTCGGTAGTTACTGGGCCGCCTGTGATAGTGTCGTGTGCTCTAGATAGGTAGGCGGGGCGGGTCGCTTTCCCCTCCGCCCCGCCTCTGCCCCCCCCCCCCCCTCCTGTGTGCTACCTTTGTACATAGCGTCCCTGCTAGCTGTGCGGTTCGACGCACCCTTAGAGACATGTAAGGTCTCCCAATAAATTATTTCACAACTGGTTGCATGTTTGTGAACACATTTGTGATGTGATTTATTCTGAGAGGCTGCATATTTTTAGGTGATTCGATTTTTCCAACTTATCCAAATCCAACATCCATCATATGATTTTAACTTTATTGTTGAGCATTGTAGATGACCGGGGTATGGTGCGCCTATTGTAATTGATTTACGACTTTGAGCGATTTCAGGAGTTGGATCAATTGATGATTTGTGTTTCCTGTCTTCTCAGTCTGTTTACCATTACATCCGGAAAACTGTCCTAATTCTTTCATCACCGGATCCGTTGTATTAGGGCTATAACTCGCCTTCTAGCTGTATAATGTAGCTTGAGACGTAAAACACAAGATCTGAAATGCTGCTGCACAGCCTGATTATTGGATCTATCGTGTACGGTGGCGTTGCCCATTGTGCCTGCCCGCTCGGGCGCCGATTCAGTTTGAGGCTAGGTTTTACACAGCGGGTGGTCTCGAGATATATCCGATACTCGGCGTTGATTTTTCTCCCGATACCGTGTGTTCGGTACAGCGAGCTACATGTCTGGACAAACATCTCGCGCAACCGGGCCTCGTTCGTAACTCGAGCAACATTTCCAGCCGCTGCAGACTGGTGTCGACAGCAACGGGTGTTACATTTAGCGGGTCTGTTTTCGTTCGGCGGCAGCCACAGCTGTTCAGTTGATCACCGCTGGCTGCACGCGGACAGTGGCCGGCCTGGTAGTTATAACAGACTGCAGAGCGCACAGAACAGAGTGCACTAATGTCGGACACTCGCTTCATCATCTGCCGCCCCCCCCCCCCACACACACACACAGACAGCATGCACAGTGCACACGCATCCGTCTCTGGCAGCCCGCCGTGCAATGGAGCATTCACAGCGCTGCAGGCTGTGACGACAGCGGGTGTCTGTCGACGCGACGGAGACGGGCCAAACGGGCCGCCTCGTCTGGCTGCCGGCCACGGGGCCCATGGCGGGCACGCCTACCAGCTAACCGCTCAGCGCTCACCGAACCGAACAAAGTCCATCGCCGCGACCTACCGCCCACCCATCCACTCACCACCGGACACCGTCCACATTGCAATTCACCGCCCACAGACAACTTGTTATGTTTCTGCATATGATGATGTTTGCACTCGACGTACTGTCTGCTTCCTGCTTCCTGGATGGTTGGCTCGCTGACTTACTGACTGGCTGCGTTTGGCTGCGTTTCGTTGGCTGGCTCACGGTGAGTGGCTGGGTTTGGCTGCGTTTGACTCGCTGGCTGCGTCTCACTGACCGGCTGACGCTGGCTGCTGCTGTGGTTCCATCCACTCTGGGAGCTCGATTCGATATGCGACTCGAATAGAGCCCAGTGGCGCTGAGTGGCGGTGAGAGGGTGTGGTGTCGGTCACACTAATCCCTTCTCCAGAGGCCCGTAATCCGCCAGTGGGAGTCACTGAGCCCTGGCTCTCAACAGACAACAGCTGCTGGCGCGTCTCAGCGCGATTCGGGGCGAGAACAAAGTCCGCGACGCTGCCCGAGCGGTACCACACCACCTGGGACCGAATACACGGGAGGTATCTACACTACGCCCGTGCAGTCCGCTGCCCACACGACCCCGTCACGTAAACGCCGTGCCTTCCCCTCTCGCCAGTCACTCCCCACCTGTACACGAGCGGCCTCTACCACAGCTGGCTGCACCTGGGAGACAGCTGTCTACAGGTACCCGAGCTGTTTGTTTACTCGTGTCCTAGATACACTCTAGCACACACAAACGGCGTGAGAGCGGATAGCTCCCACCCTGTCGGCTTTACGATCCTCGCAGAGGTCCTAGCGCCCGCTAACGGGCAAACGAATGTATCCCCCGCGCGCACATTTTCTGAGAAGTCACTGCACACTATTGCGAACATTTTCCCAGCCACAACTTGTCATTCAGGACGTCTTAGATTTCTCTTCCTACCCTCCCGGCACTCATCACGCTGCACCCTGTTGACATTCAATCCACAGTCCCTCCTCGACATTCTTCATGCACCGGGCACCCCCGATATCCACCCGATGCATTCTCGGCATTCATCCCGCATCTCCGGGCAGTAAGGGTCATCGCTGCAGAATGCGGCACTCTCCCACGTACGCCGTGCTGTCATAGAACAGCTCCTCGACGTCGCGTTTCACTTTGACGCGCCGCTGCTCTCGGAAGAGGCAGAGGTGGTTGGGCGGACAGAGACACGTGTGGTAGGTCGAGTAGGTGTCCATCCGAATGTGCCCGCAGACCTCACCGGGCGAGCACGGCTCCAGCTGCGTGGAGAGACACGGTCGGGTCAGGTCAAACGGGCGACGGTGCTGTCAGCAGGGCCATACCACTGTGAAATGGTTTCTAAGATGCAACTTCAATTAAAACTTAAAAGAAATTGTTAACATTGCCAACAAAAGTATATCAATTTGAACGCATACGGCTTTGATGACACTGATGACAGACCGTATCCACAGTAACTTTACAAGACGGTAGGTAATATTAAATTTTCCTCGGTCATTTCCAACTTGTCCACACCTCAGTGTAATAACACGGTCTGGTTTTGAGTTTGTCTCACGGCTGTATATAACTGTCGGATTAAATCAGGTGTGATGAACAGGCGCGGTGGCTGCGGGTCGGCCCTCCATCACAGGCCGGCTGACGGCTCCGGGCCGGCCGCCGCCGAACAAAGTGCTCCCATTAATTCGGCGGCCGGCGCTCCAAGTCGGCCGGGCGTCGGGGCGCGGCTGTTTTCAGCTCAGTTGGCGCCGCCGGACGTCACATTCCGCCGTCGAGGTGTGATATTGTGACGTCAGTGTCACTCTGACGTCACACTCCGCGCCAGGTGACGATCACATTCCGCTACTGAGGTGTGATATTCTGACGTCACATTCCATCGCCGAGGTGTGATATTGTGACGTCACATTCCGCCGCCGAGGTGTGATAGTCTGACGTCAGTATGACTCTGACGTCACAATTGGCTGCTGAGGTGTGCTATTATGACGTCACATTACGCTACTGAGGGTGATATTCTGACGTCACATTCCGCTGCGGGTGTGACTCTGACGTCACTCATTCTCCGTTTTTTTTTTTGCGTTTGATAGTTAAAATTCGTGTCGCACATAACGGTGTGATGGGCAGAGCAAAAAGGTGGACATTAAAACGGTTGCGATGTGGTTTATTGCTGAAGTCATCAAATGGTGTTGCCGGTAAATCAATGACTTACAAACAAGCGTCTTTTCGTAGATGCATTCAATCACAGTGTGTTGGTAAATCTGCTGGTTAAACATAACATGAGTCGTGTTAAATTTGTCATGTCACGTACCGTGACGAGCTATAATTTCTGTTGTCATTTTAGCGAATAACAAGGAGGTAAAACATAAATCCTCAAACAATGCCGTTGAGAGGAGCGCCACTGAACTTTGCAAAAGATAGCACGGAAGTCGTTACCTAGCAGAAGAAGGCAAATAGAGGTCATTGAAGACGACTGGACTCAATGTGTATTCGTTCCCCGTCACCTGACCCATTGACACGCCAACACTTTATGGGGCGGAGTGCAGCTACATCAATTTGCCGAGGCCATTGAGCATGAATCTTATGGAGTCTCATAAAAGAGCTCATTAAGAACAGATCAGACAGCTGGTTGTCAATGGCGCGTGCAAAATGGCCGAGCCCGTGCCAATACACAGGCATCGAGCCAAGGATCGGGAAACGAAATAATATATTCCATCCGCTGTCACTGGTTCATTTCCGTTGGATCATCTGAGAATGATGGCGATATTGCTCTGAATTCTGATTACGCAACTCATGGACCACGTTTCCATGGGCATCACTGAACCGGATTAGTAAAAATGGATTAGCTAATCCAGTATAGTTAGACAATATATCAAAATAAAAATAAGGGATTGACTGATTATATAAGCCTAATCCACTTGGAATTATATCATGTAACGAATAGTTTAATAAATATAATACGATTTAAATTTGCTGATCCGGATCAGTGGTGCCCATGGAAACGGGGTCACTTTTTAGGAAGTTCACATTTCATATCGACACTGATTTAGCCAGTGACTTACTTTGAAATATTATTGGAGCTTCGTTCCAATTATGCACTGACCAGTTGCAATTGCATCGTTCGAAGCCTAATTAACCATTAGTTATTAAATAAATTGAACTTCAGCTAAGTGGAAAGGCTCTCACACAATAAGAGTTTCTCTCAGTCTGAATGTCAGTATCACATTTGGACTGTATCGCGCCGAGCCGTAATACGGTGCGAACTGCGAGCGCAATGCTGCGGCAATCGCCCATAGATGGCAGCAGTGGTAGACGCCTGAAGTTATGCTGTGCCGCAAGACACGGTAGACCGCGCGCGTAAACGGACGGTGGATGCCCGCACGACGAAGCGATTCGATGAAAGGTCTGCACCGTTCCTTGAAGCGAAAGGCAAGGGGAGACTGGAGAGGCGATTGGCTCATAAAAAGCCTTGAATGTAAGGTTCGCAAAAGATCGTGCGACGATTTCAGACGTTGAAAGCTGCTGGCTCCCGAAAGAATCGTCTTCCTAGCAAACGCATGCTAGCCACACATACCGGGTTACAAGTTCTGCACATGCTGACACATAGAGCTCCAGACTGGCCACTTGCACCTCAATTAAAGTCAGTCTGGGTAAACAGCGTAATTGCCGGTGTCAAGTTTATACTGCACATACCGCAATATACGCCGACAGTGTGAAATTAACGAACACTGGGGACCGTCTCTTGGCAACATCATCCCGACAGTTGCTCTTTCCGTCCACGCAAAGAAATGCCCCGGAAGTCGCGATGTCAGCGCTGCAGGAAAGCCCGCCGTTTTTGTGAGGCGCCATCCGAGCGGCATTAGATGTAGCCGGGCCCGTGGGACGTGTGACGCGAGCCGCGGCACGTGGTCGCCGTGGCAGCTATTTTGGCTGACGCACGCCGCCGTCGCCGCCGCCCGGTGACGGGGGCCGGCCGGCTGAGCGGCCGAGGCGACCACCCCAGCTCGGAACAGGCAGAGTCTGCCTCTGCGCCGGAGACGTACGTGACAGGAGATTGGTTCGTAATTGCTCTTTAACTTCATGTAGGGAATGGACTGTCAGGTGACACGGGCTGCATCTATTAGGATATCACGTAAGTAGAAGGAAAGCTGTGTTATCTCCAGTATCCTGTTCTCCGTTCAGCGTTCTCAATCATCCTGTTCCGGCTCACGAGACCAGCACTCCGTGACTGCCAACTAGATTGATTGACACGGTCGTGCCTGGTTAATTTTGCACCACATCGCCTGTGTGGATGTCAAGAGCTTCATTTTGGCAATCACTCACCGCGTCATAACTGACTGCTGTCATAATTGGTTGATAAATTGGTCATCACTGTCAGTTCTGCTTCACTGGAGCAAAGCGAAACTGTCTGTCGGAGAATTTGATTGACGTGGCTCGCGGATGGTACGTAAGCGCATTCGGGACGCGTTCCGCAGTGATCTGTGACACGCCTGCCTTCTGAGCTGAGCTGAGGCGTAGAGATATTCGCATACTCGTAGTTCGAATATGTGATGTACGATAAATAAGACGGTTTAGATGTTGTTTAGGTACTATCTGCTTTGGTACATTTTAAGTGATTTAGGACGTCCCAATGTTGCGTGACTCAGTTTTTATAAATTTTACAAGATACTCGTATATGGCCATGGCGTCGACATTTCAATAAGTGCCTGTGCTTTTTGATACAATCATAGATAACAAATAGGTATATACACCTTTTTGCACTCAAAATAGGCATCTTTTCATTCAATTTCGGCGAATTGCATTCAATTTTAGCGATCTCTCATTTGCTTCGAATAGGGGCATTTTGTTTCGTCATATGGGCTCTACTTTGACATCGGGCACACCACATCGATATCAGTCATCATTTCGGCAAGAGGCATTCAATTTAGACAAGGCCTTACGTATATACACGTATATACACTGCCTTATGTACACCTTTTTTCAATCCGAATCGGCATCCGTTCATTCAAATACGGCAGCGGGCACCTTATCTCGACAGGCACTCCAACAACTCGACACTGGAGCACGCATTTCGACACGTTTCACGGATTTAGACTAGCATCTGTTGATATTCGACCAGGGTCATTGAACAACAGCAGGGGCATTTAATATCGACAAAGGGCCATTTTGTTTTGTCATATTGCATTTTAAGTCGGCAGCTTGCAGCCAAGCTAGACAATGGTCAATTTATCTCATCAGTGAATTAAGCAACTCTTATCTTTTCGGAAAGGCATTTTAAGAATGTGCGTTAAAATGTTCCACGGTACTGTAAAGAGACACTCAATATGGGCGCTTGGTTGCTAAGAAACCACACCTTTTTCAATCCGAATCGGCAACCGTTCATTGGAATACGGCAACGGGCACCTAATTTCGTCAGTCGCTCTGGAACCTTAACACCGGTTACACCTTTTTTCGATCCGAATCGGCATCCGTTCATTCAAATACGGCAGCGGGCACCTTATCTCGACAGGCACTCTAACAACTCGACACTGGAGCACGCATTTCGACACTTTTCGCTGATTTAGAATAGCATCTGTTGATATTCGACCAGGGTCATTGAACAACGGCAGGGGCATTTAATATCGACAAAGGGCATTCTGTTTTGTCATATTGCATTTTACGTCGGCAGCTTGCAGCCTAGCTAGACAATGGTCAATTTATTTCATCAGTGAATTAAGCAACTCTTATCTTTTCGGAAAGGCATTTTAAGAATACTATGCGTTAAAATGTTTCCGGTACTGTAAAGAGACACTCAATATGGGCGCTTGGTTGCTAAGAAACCACACCTTTTGTCAATCCGAATCGGCAACCGTTCATTGGAATACGGCAACGGGCACCTAATTTCGTCAGTCGCTCTGGAACCTAACACCGGTTCGTCCCTGACATCACCCGCCTCCGGCACGCAAGCTGACCTCATGCAAGGTCATCATCCTTGTGCCATTCTGTGACAATGCGGAAGCACTGGCGAATCCAAAGGGCGACGGGGGTCATTCGGGGCCACGCTCCTGGCAAATACAAAGGCTGACTGGGGTCATTCGGGGCCTTGCTCCTCTCAACGCATCTAAAGTTGATAATGTTTTAGCGGTATTTCTTGGATGAAAAACAAAAATATTATTTTTCATTTGTGTCGATCTGTCGACACATTGTGAGTGGCGCTGACCGCCAGCGCGGGTGGTTCAGGTCTGTCGAGTTGGGAATGGGCGTGTCACCCTTGAGGCAACAATGTTTGCAG